AAAATATTGATAAAATTACTGTGTTAATCTCTAATATTCTTATGTCATTATAAATAGAAAATTATTTTTATAAAGCTTGATAAAAATTTGTAAAAATTATATATAATATCAACTACTATTCTCATGTTAATAGAAGATTTTATATTACAACAGAAAATATACTAAAAATTGTTAGAGATAAATTTGTGGATAAACTAGAAAAACTATTAGAATAGTAAATTTTGAATGTTGTCAAAATCTCCATAACGTCTCTTAAACTCTGATTTTCGTAACAAGCACCACCAAATCGTGTATGCGTGATGTCATTTTAACGCGATGTTAAGATAGTTGCACGTATACCGCTTGCGACATGCACATGTTATTATTTATATTCTCGTGTAAAGCGTACGTGCTTACGCCGCATGAACGGAGATGATTACACGGAACCAAGTCCACTTACATAATGAAATGCAACAGCTTACTGTGTACCTACAAAATGAGCCATGTAACGTTCAGTTGCGCCTGGAAGCTGACAACCAATACACCTCGTGCACCGGGTGCACACTGGTTGCGCATATAGGATGATGTTGATCTAATCGTCCCAATTGAATTCCTGGATAATTTTTTCCCACTCTATCACAGCTACTGAAGCAGTATTACCAATGATGGAAGCACGTGAGGTTAATAAATTGCATTTGCAACATTTATAATCGGATAAATAATAAAGAAAACCTTTTTCAGTTTTATAGGTTAAGTTTGAAACTATTGGAATTTTCTGGAAGACATATTTCCGGCGAGGGAAACTAATACGATGTTAGTACAGGAAATGAAAAGATTATAAAGGTATTCTGGGTTAAACTGTAAGTGATTGATATAATTAGGGGTAATTAAAATTAATTTATGGAAGTGTCAATCATTTTACAAAAGAGAAGAATAATTAAGTAATTTTGACTATTTCCAAGTGCTAAGGCTAGAAGAATGGTGAACCATGTGAAAGTGGATAATTATGGATATGAGTGCAAAGCACTGTAATTTAGGTTACCCATAAAGGGAATTATTACAGCTTAGGAAAATTAAGGATTGCTACGGAGAACTGTCATAACCGTTTAACGTTAGTTTTACATGCGATTTATTGTATACTAATTTTGGAAATTACATAATTTCCCGAGAGTATTATTAATTAATTATCTCGTCAGTGTTCGCAATAAAAACTCCTGTCAGTCTATCTAACCCCGAGTTGTTTTCAAATTAAAAATAAAACATTCAATTGAATGATACTGAACAATTTTTAAATTTTTAAATTCAGATATTGAACATACTAACGCACAGAATCTTCTAATTCCCTTGCTCCAAATCATTCCAAATCATCGTTCATCCTATACAACTTGAATTCCTAATTATAAGATCATACTTTCTGGACAACTATACACCTCCATTGCACCAAGAACCTAGCCAAAGATTAAATCTCTCTAAAAGCGACTCCTGTTACCATACCCATACATCGGCAAATCCTTCCACCAACAGGTCACCCAATGCGTTACTTCTCAGATCACTGCTCACGTATCAACAACCATAGAACTCGCGGCAGGGTAGCACCGGCACCAAAATTCAGACAGTTCCACACGATAGTGAATTCCTGATTACCTGTCGCACCACTCTCTCCATACTGTTTCGGAGTACTCAGAAAACCGGAGCACTGTGCGGAATGCTGAATTATAGTGACGTTTTACCGTATAGCTGGCTTATATAGAGAGCTCGTCTACGCCTACAAAGATCCATTTCCTGTTGAGCACGGATTCTCCTACAGCACCCGAAGAGGATCCGCGTGGTTCCCCCCGAGTATAAAACTGGGGGTCTCTCCTTATACTCCAGTTCACATAAGAACACCAGGCGTGTGGAAAGCCCGCGCTTTATTTCCCATTGTTTAGGCGCCTGGCGTATGCGATTTTGGGGCGGCGCTGGTGTATGAGTGGAACACATCTGCCAGATCGGAGAAAGCTGGTTACTTCACCTCGTGGGACAACCTGCCGGCAGATCTAACCTGCGCGGCAGGATTAATTAGCAAATCGGGGCTTAATTAAGACACAGGACCATTGTCCATCCCTCGGATTTTATGGTGTAACTCTTGACTGAATTCTTCCCATATCGTTCTACCCTCCTATGGAAAGTAAAATAACCTCAGATTGTATTAGACTCGTAGAGGAGTAATAGCATGATCTCATGAGTATTCCATGTTTGGTAAAAGAGAGGTATTGTAGTGTCACGAATGGAATTTAAAAGAGGTATGTGCACCTATTAGGAAAAAGTTAGGGTCGAGGTTGATGACGCGAACTTGATCTGATCTGTACTGGTTTTCTTCCGAGCTGATTTATGAAATGAATGTGGATAAAGGTGATAAAATTAGAAATGACTGTTATTTCATGATCCAGGATTAGATTGGTGTGTATGATGCTGATGATTAGTTGTTAATGAATGTGACTAATTAAAGTAATTACTAATATGTAACACTGATACTAAGTATCGGTATAGTATACGATATTGTACAGTATTAATTCAATATTAATTTAATAAAAAATGTGTACTGTGTGTAGTCACATCTTAATATTATTATTAATACTAAGTATCACTATGCTAAATACCACTCTGACGTATGAAAATACAAAATATTTTATCGTGAGGTTTAGCAACCAATGTTATGTAACTAATTATACTATACACAAATGACAATAATTAAAATAATATGACGAAACATAAAGAAATGTATATAGTCTCTTTCATCTTAATACAAATCAGTATTTTATCAAATGCAACTGAATATTTTGAGTAATTGCAAGAATAAAACGTCCAAAATCGGTCATTTTTAATCGCTTATTGGTTTTTGATGTCGATAAAGTACGTTCAATTGTTTCGAAACAGGCGAAGTTACATTATGGAGATTCATTTATCTCGACGTACCGCAAGATGTCTCCATGAGTCTCTTGGTCAACAAGATTATATAGTACATGCAACGACGCATGTCAAAGAATGGTATGAGCTGGGCATCACGTGCAACGCAAATGAATGCTAGAAGGATGAGATTGGCATGCGGACCGATTTAGAAAGTAGTCTGTATTTGAATGGTGTTAAAATCATCTTTGGACCTGATCATTCCATCTAAACGACTATGTTGTTACATTATTGGAAATAATTATGTTTCGTAATTCATCTTCTCTGTTTCGTCTCGGCTGTTGAGTAATGACAGTCCAATTATTTTTCTGATTTATTCGAGAAATATTTAAAGATTCGTTTCATTTCATTGACATTACTAGAGAGTAATTCTAGTGACATATTAGTAATAAATATAGTAACACTAATGGTGATGATTTATGGGGTACATTAACAATCTCCACATTATGCACCCTGAGAGAACTACATTGACCAACCTAATAGAAGGGTTGAATAACATGATTCTGCAAATATTTATCTGAAAGGACTAATAAATCTATAATTATAGTATTCTTATTTCTGGATCATGAAATTTCGCTAGACAACAAAATCTAGAATAAAGAATTAGTTTTTATGAAATTATCGAAAACAACTTTTCAGAACTAGGACGACTGAAAATATGATTTCTTTAATCGAACAAGATAAGAACAATATTTTTCAAAGATATCTTAAGTAGTGAATGGATAAGTATCAGCAATTTTCTGCTAAATTACTGAATGATACGAGGAAACTAATTAATTAATTCATCTGCAGTCAAGTAACTGAGAATATTTTTCCATGTCCTAGGACTTGCTTGATGCTACCGGACGTAACTGAATTAATAATCGTTGATCTTATTTTGGACAATGGACATAATCATAGGCTCCCGATCTAATCTCTCAGATCAATGGTTCAAATAAAACCTAATCAAGAGTGGTTTATTGTTTATTTAATGTGCGAATTCTCACTTTCGATTCCTTTCGTAACCTTTCCCTGATTGTTCACCGTTACGTGAACGGAAATAATTGCGTTGCGATAAACACATGCTCCCTCTAGGGACAATTTGTTTAATTAACAATGCTTGAAAGTTTTTCGGTAACAAACTCCAATTACAGGGAAGTCGATACTTCATTGTTCAAACGGAAAATTTTGTTGCATATTTATTACATAAACGATATGCCCAAATCAACATTACATTCATTAAGAAATTTTGTGAAGAATAGAAAAACTAAGAAATAACAATTTAAATATTTTTAGTATCACCACATGCATCATATAATTGGAATAAATTCAAATCATAAAAAATCATAATTCCTAATAATGTAGGACCAATAAAAAAATTATCTGAAAAAAAAATAAATAAAAAGTGTATGCTTTTATTAATAAAATTCGATATTTAACCAAACTTTTGTTTTATTAGAAGTACAAAAATAACTAAGTCATTTAATTCCATAATTTGTATTTTTCCAATATTATGCATTTTTTAGATATTAATAGAATTTCTACATAAATAATAGAGAATTAAATAACAATATTGGGTCTTCCTACTTTCTACTCACGATAATCGAATGGATCTTCAAGGCATTCTCTCAATAATCTCTTTTTGTACTAAAGCGTAATAAACAAGGTCAAATGGGCTTAAAGGATGCTCTAAATTCATTCCAAGCGAGCAATTATGCAAGCATCTTTCAGCACAATTTGACCGATCTCTTTCTCTCTTCTCTGTACACGCTAATTTGATGTACCTGGTTCGTTGTGAAACAACATGATGTGAATAATGAATCAACTGGACGAAGAGAGGCATCATCTCAGTAGGCGCCTAACAAAAAGTACTTACATTATTTCGTCATCCTTGGCGTCACAGAACCTCTTTGATCTGACATCAAAATCGAAAGTGAATCAAAGATACATTTAAACGCGAAATAAAACTATTTCAAATATTCTCAGAATAATTCTATTTAAGGATGAATCTTTAGAGCAAAAAAAAGTAATACATATATAGAAAAATCAAACACGAGAATAAAATTGTAATAGAAGAGAAGTGTACTTATATTTATTAGGGTATTAAAAACAAACTATTGAAGAATAAATTAATAAAAATAATACCCATTGATGTCTGCTTCAAAAAAGGAAAAAAAGGGGGTTACATAAAATAATATAGCTATTACGTTTTATTAGTACTTCTTTAACATTTCCACTGTTTGTTTCTAAAAGAGAAAAAAAAAATGAATGAATATCTGTTCTCGAAAATCCAAATTTTCCGAAACAATAATTTTTTTGGAATAATTATTATAAATTTATCTTCAATATAATAGCATTTAATATATCAAATCTTTCGTAACGTCTAAGAAATTTGTACTTGCATTTTACAATTTCTTCCTTGAAGAAATGTCAATGATAATTTCGACAGTGCAAATAACAAATGACAGATAAACACTTAACAAAGAAACAATACTATATAACGTCAATATCAAGTCATTACAATTTTTCAGAGTCGGAGAGTTTAGAGGCATTCTGCATTTCTTTTATTTATTTTTCTTTTTTTTTATATATTTTCGTTTTTAGATTTCTAAATATCTGGATTTTTATATTTTATATTTCTGAACTTTTTAATTTTTGCATATTTTTCCATTTCCCCATTTCGATATTGCTATATCTGTATTCTTTATACAAGATCAATAGTATTCCAAATAATTCTTATTCAATAGCAACAATTTCAGTCGAATATATTAACATCCTATTGACCAAATCAATTGTTTGGTCTGTCATATGTTACATTTTATTAATGCGAATGTAAATTACTTTCTCAACCATCAGGGTGTGTACAAACCATGACATGTATCATATAATAATTCATATACCAATCTTTATTATTTTACTTTCTCTATTAAATAATTAATCATTAAAAAATATTTGTAAAATCACGAAAAAATCTTATCCAAAAATCTTTTCATTACTACATTCTTAATTTAAAAGGACCTGAAGATTAAAAATGAAAAGTAGTCTTTTTCCTTGATTTTTGAGTTACATTTTTTACCGTTTTTAAATTTACCAAATTTTATTTTTAATAGAAAATCGGTAACTATTAATTAATTAAATATTATAACATATAACTAAATTTTTATGGGAAAATATTTTTTGTTAAAGAAAAGTATCATCAAAACAATTATTTATCAAAACCTATGCATGTTATTGTTGTCTTGACTGACGATCTCTTTTAAATTTACTAACTAGTCGGGTATCATTATTCTCTTCCTTTTCCAAAATTTTGTTTGTAACTGTTGTATTCCTTTCTTGGATGTCTTTTACCACCTAAAAAAATTTAAAATATTTTTATTTAATACTATTATTATTTTGAAAATTTTTAATTTATAAAATTCGATAAACTAATTACAGCTTCATAAGCTGAAGATTTAATAGTTTCTTCTTCTTCCTTTTCCTCTTCCATACTATAATCTGATGAAGCAGGTTGTTCTGGATTTATATCGTTTGGCGATCTTTTTAAAATAGATTTAGATCTAAAAAATAATCTATAAATATCTGCTGGTGTTTCTATTGAATCTCCATCTGATTTCACAATTGGATTATTTTCAGAATGGTGGAATTCTATCAAAAGATTATCTCCCTCCAAATCTTCTGTGCTTTTGCTATCTTCTTCTTTTTCTTTTCTTAAATTTTCTTCCTGTTTGTTTAAAATATGTTCTGGTTTTGCAAATAAAACAAATTTTTTAATCTTACGTGATTTAACAAAATCATTAGGTTGTTTTGTGTCAGAATCAAAAACTTCTATATCTTCTTCTTTAGGCTCTTTCTCTTCTTCACTTTCAGAACAACTTTCTGATTCATAATATGATTCTTCTTCTTCTAATTCTTCACCAAAAAATTCATACTTTTCATTTTCTAACCTGTAAATTGAAATAACTTTTAAAAGATTTGATATTCTAGCTACCCATAAACATACCTATTAAATTCATCTGCTAATTCTTCTTCAATTTCAAGCTGATCAAGTCTATTAAATAAATCTTCTTCAGTTTCTATTTTTCTTCTTTCTTCCAGTCTTAGTTTTGCCAATTTTTGATGATACTCCCTTTCTCTTTCTCTATGTCTTTCTGTAAAAAAAAGTTAAAGGATACTTACATACTTATAGAAAATATTGAAATATAGAAAATATGATTTACAAGAAAAAGATAAAAATAAGTACTTTTCCACTCTGTGATTTGATCTTCATTCCAATGTTCTACAATTTCACTACCATCAGAATCTTCAAAAAAATTATTTTCTAACATTATCATTCTAGTTTCATACAAATTCCTTTCTGCATTTAAATTGTTTAAAATTTCATCAGCTTCTAAAAATAAAAATTTACAATTATTGTTTATTAAATTCTAACTATTTCTTATTCTACATTATTTGGCGATATATTAAACATACTTTTTATTCTTCTTTCACAAAGTGCTACTGCACCTGAAGTACTATACTTTGCAAAATATCCATCTCCCAAGCAGGTAAGTATTTCATTGGTATGAATTAATTTTCCTTTCATTAGAGCACGTTTTCCAATTGGTACCATACAGTTTACATATAAGTCCTTTTGGAAAATCTCTAATGCTTCTGCAACTTTCTGATGATTTTTTTTATAAGCGGTCCATATTTTGCACTGTTCTTCATTTCGTTCAATTCCCTTCAAACAAATAATATAAATTTTTGAATTATTTTGACATACATATTTTTAATTACATCAAATTTAAATAATAGCATTAATACATAGTTAAGGTCTCAATTTTTAGAATACAGATTTTCATTAAATTTCTCCCTCTTTATTTTTGTTGAACAATATACCTTTGTAAGAGCTTCATCTAGCAGTACACGGTGAACTATTTGTGTACTGTCTTCAACATTCATTGTTGAACTAGAAGTATTAATTAACAATACTTTTGAAAGGCCAGGAAGAGATATAAATAACTTATAATAAAAAAATAATACCAATCATTTTCATATTCTGCATATTAAATGTATTGCGTATAATATCAAATAATTTTTAAACATCTAGCCGTATTAATATTTTTCAAGTAACTTTATATTCATAAATTATAAAAAACAGTTAATTGATGATTTAATATAGTCGCATTTTTCTTGTAATTTAATAGTAATTCTTGTAAATATTCTCTTAAATTGCTCAATTCTTCAAATATAACCTAAGAAACAGTATCCAAATCTGGAAGATCTCCGATATACTGTATAAAGATGTTACTATATAAAAGTAATAATATAAGAATTAGTAATATTTGAATAATATTAATTTTCTTATTAAATTTATTGTAGAAACTAACATAAATTTATAAAAGTTTTATTACTTTAAAATGAAAATAGGAAAAATAAATCTTTTATTTAACAAAAATATATTTCTATTTGAATATAATAAATATTTTCGTTGATAGAGGGCACTAATTTCGCACGTTAGTTATTCACTAGAGACACGTGGTTACATATTTCGTTGGTTTGTGTTTTTCTTTCCTATTTCCCTTTTAACGTTCAAGAGAATACGTGCAAGATGGTTAGTGAATCGGTGGAAATCTGTTTCTGTTTAAAACATCTGTTATAATAATTGTTTTGTTATTTAATTATAATTTCTTTTGCCGTGATACAAATAAAAATATTCTAAAATTTTTATTAATAGAATTATATTTAAGGACAACCGTGTTCATAACCTATCATTCCAATAACATATTTAGTTTTCTCACTTTTAAGTAAATATGTTTTGTTGAATAAATCTTTTTTATTATATCAGTTATACTTTAAATACTAAACTGAATTAAATCAAATGTCTCTTTATTTGTAAAGTAATATACTTTTATTGATGGCAACATCAAAGAAAACATTTGTTGAAATCTTCGAAATTGCCGAAGTATACAAAAGTGAAATGTAAACTAGTGTTGTGCTTATCATTTCAGGGTAAGGTTAAGTGTACTGATCTGAGGACAAAAGATAAAAATGAACTGCTCAAGCAGTTGGAAGAGCTCAAAACTGAGTTGACAAATCTTCAAGTATCAAAAGTTACTGGTGGTGCTGCTTCGAAACTTTCGAAAATGTATGTATAAGTTTTACAAACTTATTATTTTATATATAATATTTAGACTATTATTTTATTTATATCAAATACTCATAATTACAAAATTTACTTAATAACTTATCTGTATTTTCTATACCTAACAAATGTATAATGGGGATTAATTTTATAAAATGAGAATTAATTTATGGATTAAACAAAACTGAAACCAATATTTAAAAGCTATATTCAACTTTTTTATACAATTAAAAACTAGCATAAGACAGTTCATATTTTCATTTTTTATATTTTCTATGTATTTCAGACGTGTGGTTAGAAAGGCAATAGCTAGGGTATACATTATTATGCACCAGAAACAGAAAGAAAATCTGCGTTTGTTGTACAAAAACCACAAGTATAAACCTCTGGATTTGAGGCCAAAAAAAACCAGAGCTATTAGAAGAGCACTAACTCCTTATCAAGCCAACAGAAAAACTCCAAAAGAAATACGTAAACGATCTGCCTTTCCACCAAGGAAGTATGCTTTAAAGGTGTAATTTGCAAGGTACTAACAGAAAAAATAAAGGCTTTTTAAAAATTCAAAACTGTGTTACTCTTCAAGACTTAGGGAAAAGGGGCAAAAATTTCAAAATTATCGGCAAGTGCTTTTTATTTTGTATAGAAAAAGAGTACAAAAGTTAAACTTAGATAGGCTGCTTCTAGTTAATCCAATCTATTGTAATCCTTGACTGTTCAATACCCAACATCGCCTAAAATTTATTTTAAAGATATAAATTCATTAAAATACTGCTAAAAATGAATGAAGAAATTTAATTTAGCTTCGAATTATAATGAATACATAATGATACATAAATTAGAAATTAAGTACAGAAAAGTCCTTTTACCCTAACTTCTTGTACAATTAAATCATTGGGTATTGAACATTTAAGAATTACTAGAAGCTATGGAAGGGAATTTAAAGGCGGATGCCAGGGTTTCTAGAAAGCACGAAGTTCAGAAGTTCATCACTGTCCTCACAAACAAATGGTTTTCGATGATGACAAGCTACATCATGCCATTTGATGCCATCATTGTAGAAGTTATTCAGAATCGACAAGCAAGACTCGTCATTACCCTGTAACATAAATGCATACATTAAAAAGTTATCAAAAGCCATGATTAAAAGAAAGGAATGAAAAAAAATATATAAAAATAATAAAGAGTAAATTACCTGCGCAGCCTCGCGGTTGTCCGGTTGTGGCTGCCCATATCCACCAGTGTTACTCCAATCTCCAGAGTTGCGCTGTGTAGTTGGACCAATCTTGGCTCCTGAACCAGACCAAAACCATCCATTGATGTTTTGTGGTTGGAGATCTGGTCTGTCACAGCCATTGAAGTTACATTTGCGACCAGATGTCCAAATGAACCTTACATTTCCTATATAAAAATGGAAAATATAAACACATTCATTTGAAGACGTAAATGCAATTAAAATATATTGTTTTATAATTAACCTCGTGCTAGTCGCTGTTTGATAAACTCATTTTCTTGCGGTGTTTCAAGAGAGACTGCATCCATACAGTGTCTACGACAGATATTACGAGAATCCAGCCAATCTACTTCGAGACTTCTAGTCGGTTGATGCTCCCAACTGAAGAAATACGAATGTGCAACACCTCTAGCGTCTCTATAGGTGGCATGTCGTACTCCTAAATCGAGGTTTAAAACAAAAAGATAAATGATTTTTTCTTCGGTCAAAAAAATAATTCGATAAATTGTGGTTAAAACATTTACGATTAGCACAGCTACGTGGATCGGGAAGTGCGAGTCGACGTTGAGCATTCACAACTGCGACGAGAACCAACATCAGCCATATCGTTCTCATATTTATAGTTCCTAGACAAATTGAAAAGAAATAATCTGATTTCTATTTCTAATATAATAATTTAAGTCATTTTTTACTTACAGAATAATGAATCTTTAATTTAAAAAAAAAAATTATATTTAAGAAATTCATTATCTAAAGCGACCTTGTTAAAGGGAAAATTATGAAGTGGCGAATGTTCCAGGAAAACATTGTATGTTGTGTTGGATGTCTAGCGAGTAAAAGTATCTTGGGAACGAATCTTTGTCGAGGGTGAAAGGAGACTTTTCAACAGTGAATTATGATTCGTAAAGGAGGAGAGGCTCGGAGGTGAATCTCTCACGGCGACGATGGTGAAAAATACTAGAGGATTTTGCAACAGGTTTTTATTTTTTTATAACATGCCACCGACTTTCCTCAGAGTCTCCATAGGCTTGTTGCAACTTTCTAAATTGTCCTCGCGACGAAACTGTCGTCGAATGATTCTCAATTAATGGCAACAGTAGAGATCTAGCTACGAAACAACTATATATATGGATAATCATGTAGTTGGATTCGACAACGCAATAAAGTTGCTTTATGAGAATGAAAATTGTACCTAAAGAACGAAATGTATCTACGTGTAGAATGCGAAGCTGATATTTCAAAAAATAATCGAAAACATCTAGTATGGACATTTTTTATGCATTGCATCAAAAATTTTCCAGATTGATAATAATTTTCTTAAAAAGTATTGAACGTATTGATTTACATTTTGCACGTATAAAATAAATTGACTATTCTCAAAACTAGAATTAAGTTGTATCTGCGATATTACATTGTATGAGTTTGGAATACTCAAAAAATAACTGACTTAATTTAATAATTTAATTTAGTTAATGAGAAGAAATCTGATCTAGAACATTTCATATCTAGAAATTTCGAAACTTAGCAGATAGGCATGGTGTCCTTTGTCTTGAATAATGTCGGGGTTGGATTTTCGGAAACATAAGAGAACATACACGAGAATTGAATTCTTTGTATGTTTTATAACTTTTGTTACAAAAGAGATCATCTCGAGATTGATCATCTAGGCTAAAATAATTCCTTAAGACAAGAGTTTATAAAAACAGGAAGGAAGTTGCTCCTTTTTGTGCTAAAATGTAATTACAGTTACTTTTGCAATCACTGTACTTTACATTTCACAATTCGGATAATTGAAATATGTATGACTGTTTATTACGTTATCTCGTTTATATTCAATTGCCATACTGAATAACAATGATGCTTATTTAGGACTCCACGTCGTTGTAGACTTAATGAGGCCCTGTTCTTAATAGCACAGCTTTCGCTAAAATTTAGTTAGCGGTCGTTCACCTGAATTGAAGAAATGCTAATGTCGTCCCGGAAAAGATAATGCAACTGAATAATTAAAAAATTTCATATACAAAACAATTCATAACTGCAGCGAGGAAAGTTTAATATATCACGAATTGTGAAATTTACTTGCACATTATTTTTTCCACGACAGATTTTTACAGATTTATTTGAACGAATATGGTTTAATTGTTTAATCTTCCTATTGTAATAAACTGTGAATAATTTGACGAGAAAGTAAACAACCACTTCAATTACAATTCTGAAGACATTTTACTGATTGCAACCTAAGATAGCCCTCACGTTTTCGTTAAGAATTTTCTAAAATAAGGAATTAGACACAGTCAACAATTATTATACCCTCATATAAAGGGGTTGAGAAATTGTATAAATACCAAGCTGATTTCACGAATTTACAAATTATCACTTAAACTTACAACGCCATCTTCGATTTAGTATCTTTACCATCTTACCTAATTATCATGAATATGTAACAACATAGGGGAGTATTTAAAAAATTATTCTGATTTCTATTTTACCAAATACATATTAAATATCAGATCTGCTTAGCATTTTTATAACAGTTTCTTTTATTTTTCTCTTTAACATTCCTATGTATTTAAGGATTACGTATTAATTTATCCCTAGTTATAGGGTTAGGAGAGTGCTTGCAAAAGAACAAGAAAAAGAGAGAGATCGTGGCTTTATTTCGTATCCGCATGTATGCTCGTGGAACCGTTATCTGGCCGGCTTTATATCGTCCGGTTTATGTAGTTGGCTGTGTTCTACGTCTTTCTTAACGGCTCATCGTCTGTCTGTAAGCCCGCTGCATACGCGTATTCGGGGCGAGTACAACGATACAAAAACGAGACAGGAACGTGCCAATGTGTTCGACGTGATAACGAAAAACAAAAAGATGATCGGTGTCAGTTTAATTTTGACTTTCATTCAATCTACATCGATCAAGAATTATTACTTCATTCATGTTTTTTTTTTCCGCTACATTCTAAACATTTTTCTGTTTTATTCGTGCATGATGTTTTGATGATATACTACAATATACAAAATTATAGACTCGTAATATTAAGTGAGTGTCCAAAAAAATTTTCACCGTTGAATATCAACGATGACTAGAGGTATTCTCATTTGTATGTAAAGTCGTATTTATGCAAATATATGCTTAATGATATGTGGGTCACCGGTGACACCTGTTCTATTTATACCTTTTTTCTTTTATTTTTTAGTATTATTACAACAAAGTGACAATTGATGTGTCAAAATATTATTTATATATTATAATAATATTTTCTTGTTATTTTTAATGTTTCTTTTAAATGTCCAATGAAAATTAACTATGTTTATAGAAACGCCCGCTTCTACCATATACGGATGCTTGAGACAGGAAGCTTAGTCTAGAAAAAACCTGATCTTTAATTCAGAACTTTTGCTTAGACATCGTATCGCATTTAATGAGGAAAAGAGTTTCTCTTCGATTCAATTTGCCAAATGGTTTTCTGGTTGAAAATGAAGGAGAGAAGCAGTCTTGTTTCTTTTTCCTCCTTTTACGGAGGATATCGTAAGATGTAATGAATTCTCGGCCGAAGTAATACTTCAGTTGCAACGTTGCGTAGACTAGTGGAGATCTTACGCAAGGAAAGTACCTTCGCAAAGATAAACCTCATCGCCTCTCACGAATCGGAGAGAAAGTGAGTGATCTTCAAAACAAGCATGTTTATCTAAAACCTGAGATGGAGTTAAATGGCCAACGTTAGAGACGCACAGTTTTGTTTCTGCAAAAAATTAGGAAACATAACAAAATCATTTTTATTCTTCATTTCACTAATAATTTTTTCCCTTTTTTTTTGTGAAACAAAAAAAGAGCTTTAATTAACACTTGTTAGGTTAATTTCCTATTCTTGAACATAGAAAAACTAATAAACAGAATTTTATAATATAAATTACAGAAAGGACGTTTGAAAAGAATATTAAGAAAGCACGTGTAAAAAGATAGTAGAATAACTAATTGAATATAATATAATAGATAATTATGTGCGCTAAACTTCAAATTTTAATATAATACTGTAACAAGGAAACAAATCGCAAAGAGCTAATTGAGATTAATTATGTAATATTATAAAAATATTTTTATATAAAATTAATAAATAATATCTGATTTTAGTTAACTTATAAAATTTCAATATTCAAATCATGGATGGCAGTTTATTAATTAATTATTTAAAATTTTTTACAAAAAAATATAAAAAAGACAATTTACATTTTGTCATTTTTATCGTGTAATAATTGTAAAACTTTTGTGTAATAATAACAAAACAAAGTTAAAGTACCAGAAATTAATTAAAATTGGTCTAAATGTTCAAATAGTTCCATAAGTTTTTGTAGTCATACTATAAATATATATTTTATAAACATATATTTCTCTAAATTTTGTACTAGAAGGTGAAAGCAGCAGAACCTATTGGAGTTGAAAATGTGATGAACCATCACCTAATCGTGATGCCCGCGACGAATCGCGCGAAAATTGCGTTTAGGAGAACCGTCAAAGAGAAAGCCCCGGAGAGTTCCTGCGCGGGTCATGCGAGACGACCGTTCAATTCATGAGGTCGCTTTCGATTTCTCCGGGTGCACTTACCTAGAGAAGCTTCCTCTGGCACTTTGTTGACGTTCACTGGTCCGTAAGGATCTTCTAACCAAAATAGTAATAATAAATTACCAAGAAGATACGAAAGAATATAATAGAACTTCTTTCGTGATCCCCGTATAAATTGATGTTGCGTGTATTTTTCGGTTAGCCCAATGAGAACGTAAGATTGTCCACGACTTGTCGATCGCGACGAGAAAGAAGAATGAACTGCGGTGTATGAGCAGGCAACCGGTATATAGCCGGCCCACATTCCCTCTAGCTCGAGTAACCCAGATTCTTCCCACCCGAGTGTGTCTGTAAAGCATCTTCGGGGGTCTGAAAGGGGCCCTGGATAATTCTCATCTTGTGCCAGCACCTCTCACCGGTCGCTTCCCTCCTACCCGTTACTCGCACGAGCTTCCTTGAAATCTTTCGGAGCTAGAATTCGTTTTTCTCGCATTGGAATCTGTCGCTGTAATTGATTCTTCTAAAGGAATTATCCTTCCGTTGTTCGAATGTGTTTAGAGTCGTTGGTTTTCATTCATAAAAGTAGTTGTTGATTTGAATAACTTTAAAATGTTAATTTAATTTCAAACATACATTAGGAATTATTTCTTAAATGAAAAAAAGTGTTTGTACAAAGTATATTTACAATTAAATATACAAGAATTTTTGTTGCATTCTCTATTTTAAATTTTAATTAAAATAATTTATCGTTATAAAATGTTACCTTTAAAGTGTTGTATTAGTAGTATGCTATTTATTTATAGCATCATTGACTTTGTACAATTAATTGCAACAGAGTTTTGAAATGTTAAACTGCTTCTGTATTCATTACCTTTGTAGTGTATGTATGTATTCTTTTGATATATTATTCCATGTCAGAGTTGTGTGTGTGACTTCTTCATTATATATACAATTACTATATAAAGATAATTGACTACAAATAAATAATGTTGAACTTAATGCAACCCATGCACTATAAAGACATCTTTAGACTTTCACTCTTCTTCCTGAATACATTTTTCCACTAGTTCTCTCAAATTAGGATTCTCCATAGCAGCTGCAATTCTTTCCTTGTCATTTATTTGTTTATTTACTGAAATATAAAAATTGAATGTACATTAATTCAACTAATCATATAAAATTATTGATTGTACTCACTTTCTTGTTCTGTAGAATGTGCACCTTTTTTAATATATATATCTAGTTTAAAAAGGGCTACTATATGGCGCTCTAGTTTTACTCTAATGCAAAGTCCAATCAGTGTTGCCAAAGAACAATGAGGTACTGTTGGATTAAATTCAATGCGAATTATAGAAACTCCTTTGGGAGTTTGTCTTAAAATCTCAACGCAGTCTTCATAGACAACATCTAATTGCTCCAATGTTTGTGGTTTTTCTGGATCCTTGATTGTTCTCAATAAATCTACGATTATTTTAAGTTATATGCACCTTTATAAAAATGTTTTCATTAATCTTTTGTGTTAAAGTAATTAACCGTCTTGTTGTTTTTAAAACATAACCACTAATTTTACAAATTAGATTTATATAATTGTGTACTAAATGGATGATTTTCATAATATTTAGCAGAAGTCTGACTAATTATTAATCATTAAATTAATATTATTATTAATCACTTGCTAATTGTATGATTATTTATGATTAGCAATTAGTATATAATTAAATAAACATTTTAATTAGTTGGTTTTCCTTCGATTTGGGATATGAACTTACCATAAATAGTTTCTTTGAGTTCAGTGTCGGATCGCGAGATCAAACCTCGATTTTTTGCATCCAGACAAGCTTCATTAACTTCCATTTCGTCGCCTGTTGGCACACCATCTCTTATCTTCCCCCGAATTGAAATTTTTCGTAAAAATGGCAACATTCTTGCCCCGTTCTCCCCTTACTGTTTATAGCAATCAACGATACATCATTACAATTTGTTTATGTTATGACTACGAAACATAACGAACCTAACCTCTGGTCAACGACTTGCAGAACTCATTTATAAATACGTCATTGTGGCGCGTAAATTCAATAACATAAGGTTTTCCCATTTCAAATCTTTTTTATAATCTAAATATTAAATACATAATTAATGTAAGTATTTCTGAAAGATTAAGTTTTTGAAAATAAATAAAATGGAAATTGGAAATTCAAATTATTGACATTGTAAATTATCCATCTAAAAGTTTTATATTTATAGTTTGATTTGTATCTTGCTTCTGAATATTTGAAATAATCATGAAAATCATCCATCTCATATTTTTTTCTTATTTGTTTTTATTTTAAAACTATTTATTTATAATTCATTTGTCATACGAGTAATTACTTGCTTATTTAATATGCTTAAATACCTGTTATTACATTATGGATGGATTATCTCGAGATGAGAATGTAACCCCAATCGAAGCCTAAATCGACATCTTTTTATTCGCGTGCTAATTTATTTACTTTCACTTTCTCATAGCAATATTTCAAATGTACTTAATTTGCTCATTTAAAAACTTTTGTGAATTTATACAAGATTTATTAAATATTTGTTTAGTTTGAAGATTTTTATATATATAAAAAAAATGTTATATGAAAGTATTCTCGCATATTCTAACTGATCAAACAAATTTCAGGTAACTTTGAACAAGAAATATTTTCTTTCCTCGTTATCATACAATTCGCATGTTTCGTTCAACACCATTGTCATAAATAATGTAAAAGGATACTACATACGAACCTAGTCTTTTACCTTTCATAGGAATGATTGAAATTTAAAGGTAAATGAAAAAACTTTTATATAAAATATTCTATTTAGTTAAAATTGCATGACGAAAAAAATCATCTTGTAGATGGCGTTAAAATCGCAATATCAGCTTAGCTTTTTAAATAGAGCATTACACATTTTATCCTGTAGGATGACACATTTTTGAGATGTGACCAAGGATCCTTAAATGATATCATTCAAGATTAGTAGTATAATGAACCTTGTACAGATATACAAGACAATTTTCAATGTAAGATTTAAAAACTCAATATTTTTAAATAATCTTATATAGGTTACTTAAACCCTATACAAGGGTTTTTTTTAGTTTGAATTTATAAATAATTCTTTACAAATTATAATATATAATAATTTTTGGTATGTTATATAGGATATTGTAATATTGGATAATCCAACAAAAAATAAAATTAGTCAACATTATATTTTCTATTAATCATCACTAACATTTATAACGACATTACACTATGAAGATCAATATACAACCATATTTTCGTTGCAAATTGTACAACGACTCTCATATGCCTTCTAATTCATCATTTACGGTACAAAAAATATTTGAACAAAGATAACCTATCATTGCAATTCCTTCTGTAATCTCTCCCAAATACCTTTCACCTCCAGTGAACTCCGATTGATTCTCTAAGGGAAGGGGGAAGGCGGGCAGAACGAAAGTTCATAGTACAGAGATTACGACCCGGTTGCAGCAAACAACATAACCTATGATCTGATTTAGGCAGAAGAAAATAGTGTCGTCTTGGGCGTTGCATCTTGCGCACGCTCCGTTCCGCAGCGAGACACGCAGAGAGGAGCGTGGGGTTCCTTTGTCGGGGAACACTGGTGAATTCGTGGAAGCTAACGGCGGTCGCGTCTGGGCCCTCCGTGAAACTGATAAACGCATTCATTCCGGCTGACCGAATGAGGTTTTAAGGTGAGAGAACGGTGCAACGCGTGTCAGGCGAGGAATGCGTAAGGAAAGCTTTCTAGAAGGCCTGATACTCCTCTTTAATCCACAACCCACGACAGGGCATGAAACTTAAAGATAAACCCGTGATATGCGTTTCGAGGTGGTGGTCCAACGTGAGTCGACTGACTTTAACGAGACTTAGAATTGTATACCTCTGTTAGGAAGTTAGTAACCGTTCCCCGTGTGTTTGGCTGGTGGTTATACCATGATAGTGTTGGCTGTTTCATCTAGGGAAGGTAAGAGTTGTTTGGAATTTTTACGTAGGATAAAGGTTCCGTATACAGTTTAATGGACAAGTTTTCCCTTTTATTACCACACGTGTTCGAGTATTTGTGCTGTGTTTGACAAAAGAGTTACATCAGAGTTTTTTTTTTTCTATTGTTCTCTGGAAAATAGAATAAACTTAGGTATTTTCAATGCTTGATATCTATCACACTAGAATGTCGAATAACTGTAATCAAAAATATTTCGGAGAAAGTTCAAGTAACACTTTGGCACTATAGAAATTGGAAACGTAAAATAGTGTTAATTAATGCATAGGGTAATTTTGTTCACGTGAAAGTACGCCATGCGATTATAAAATTTTCAAGTGAGGGAAATTTGTCATAATTTCTTATTCGTTAAGCGATTCAAATTATTTTCCGTTTTAATATAAATGCATATACATATTAGGAATTAGGGGCGAATTTAAATTTTGTTTCAGTATAATTAAGATAATCCAATGTAAATAGAAAGTATTTTAAACTGTGTCGTCATATCAGTTCTTGCTTTCGTTCGGTGACAACTTATTTACTTTACTTTCTATGTGCTCTTATAGTTAGAAGGTTTTTGGTTCTTTGAAAATGACGTAACATACCAATTTTTAGTTCAATTGCCGAGAAATCTCAAAAGATACTCTCATTGATTCCAACAGTAACATTGTTACTCATCTGTACCTAGATTGGTGACTCTGTAGATAGGGAATTTGGACTAGAAAGGATTAATCGAAAGAGATCGAGGTTATCGATTAACTAAGCCATGGTGGATATTAAAATTTAACTCGGACGATCGATATCCATAAGTTACTACAATAACCTTTCACTATAATATTCCTCTAAATTAATGTTATATTGAGGCCTATAAATCATAGTAATTTATTTTGAATCTTTTATTAGTAAAATTTATCACTCAATCAAATATTAATGAAAAAATATAATGTATTCAGATATTGCTAAAGTTAAGCAAAAGTTCAATAAATATTCAATATTGAAGATAGGAAGTAGAATCTGTAATTTAATCATTTTGAACTTATTGACTAGGCGATATATGAGAGTATTTTTATCATCAAATCTGTTGCTACGTGCTCAGCAACGTCAATAATGTAAGATACTGATATAAACACTTTCTACTAAGTAGATGTATAAAAGATAATTATAAAAATGATATAGAATAACTATCTACCTAGATCGTTCTTAGGATAGTATCAAAATGATAGCAATAATTCTTTTTTGCGAAAATAGTATTATTAAATTGAAACATTAAAATACCACACTTTAGGTTTAAGTTACATTTGATAACATTTGATCTTGTTTTGTAATAATGTAAGCATTTAAATATAGAAGTAATGTTCACTTTTAATGATTATCTACTGAGAATTTCAATATACAGCATTCCGTGCATTTCTTTTGTACAAGAAGACGTCAGATGTCGCGTCAATTACATTCTTAACTTAATACTTTCCGAACACAATTAATAGTAAAAGAAACAGGAAAATTCGTTCAACAATCAATAATATAACTTAGCATAACAAATTTTGTTAAATATAGTCACATTATAAATTATGAATCCATATTTTTAGTCATTGAATTTGTATGTTTCCGATTCAGTATTACAATTCATTTTCACTCAGTGCGCACACATAATTTTACTAAAATTCGTGATTCGATGAAAAAAACTTATTAACAGGTGTTCACGTAATCAAACAACTCTCATAAGTTGGATATCTCCTTATCTACGAATTTGATGGGTCAGTATAACTATATATGTGGGCAAACAATCATAAATACAACGTGAGATAATTTCAATTCAATTTTCAAAAAATTCCAATTACGTAACTTGTATCATACGCAAATCTGTACATGTGCAGTCAAGTATGATATCGTCTTTCCAACAGCTATATATAAGTTGCAGAAGTATTCACACCCTTTCGCCTTCTAACTTTATAATACCATTCACTGAAATATTAATTTTTCTCACAAACTATTGCCATTGATTAACAAAATATATTCCACTCAAGTACGTAACTGATTTAACACATTTTTTATTAACACATTTTATTCTCTTAAATAAGTATTAATTATTTGCAGTCAGAATGGAAGAATTACAAATATTTTTACGATTCACTGTACTACTCGCCTGTTACGGTTTACAGCACGCTGCGCATGCGTGAACGTCTCCTAAACCGCCGAACAAATTACCGGAACCGTCTGCCGACTGAGTGAATTGGAGGTAAAGAGAGAGGACCGACCGGAGAAACGATGCCTCAGGCACGCTGGTGGAACGCTGTTATCGCGAGCAGTCGGCCTAGGACGTGGGAACAACTAACTGCTTCTGCGGGGTCAGGGGCGACGAGAGGCAGAGTATCTGCACTCCTGACGACTGCTGAAGCGGTAGTCCACCGGCCGGCTGCCGACAGAGCACTCCGTCGCGGTATGGCGATCGCTTCACCAGGAAGCAAAGTCCTCACCGAGGACAATGTTTTCATAAATCTCCGGAAAATGGAATATGCAGTGCGCGGGCCTCTTCTCATACGCGCTCTCGAGATCGAAAAAGAACTCCAGAAGGTAAGGAAGTATGATCGTGGATGATATGACAGTGTAACACGAGAAAAGTCAATGTACTTTTTCATTTGCTAGTTTCGAGGTTTAATTCACATCGTACTGTATCGCGGCAATTAAAACATACTCATTGAAGTCCATCAACATTTTAAATGAATATCTACACGTTCTTATAGATGAAATTGGTTATATGTATATCGAAATTCAAATCCTAAAGTTTCCATCTGGTTAATAATTGATGTCAATAAAATGTAAGTAAGAGTTGTATTTATGTTCTAATTGGCTAGTTGAGTCTTCACTATTTTCATATGGTCATATGGTAATATAAATGTAAATAACATTGGCAATATGGTACGGTAACCTACTGATTGCAAATGATAGTTCTATACGGAGGTTATGTTTCAACCCATATATGTATATTGTCAAATCTGCAAAAGCTGGTAATTATACTATTAGAGAAATTTTCCATGCTAATCATTTTAGTTGATAATGATACGAGAACAGCGTTATCCAAATTCGTTTTCTAAAATGCTAATTTTAATATACGAACTGATATACGAATAAAAATCAATTTTAAAATAATTTACTAGGAAGAATTCCACTATTTTTAATTGACTTGTTAAACCTGCAAAGTGATTATGCTTATGTGCTATAGTAATCGAGCGTGTTCTTTTAAAATACGATGATACTGACATTTAGCAAGACATAAATAACATTTCAAATTATTCTTATATTCATAAATACGATCTTTTTTACTTATACAAAAAGATTCTGAAATAATGGAAAATGTAGATAAAAAACAATATTTTGTTTCTTAAATAAAGTAGATGACATAAATCTATTTAAAACGTAAATTTAATTGATTTCGATTAACGATAATTTGGGAACCACCTGTCGCTAAATAATGCTCCAAGGTGTAAGCGACTAAAAATAGTTTCAATTGGCGTTCATTAATTCAAACAAACATTGCATCATGAAACAATCCAGGAACGCTGCTACTTCTACGAACAAAACATTTCATTTCTTCGTATATTAATTTCGAATAAAATTCTAATCAATTCCAACGTTACAATGTTACATAATCACATCAACTATACCGTATTTGGTAATATACAAAATATACATATTGCAAAATTGAATATAATAATTATCGTAATGTAGATTTATATTGTACATATGTACTTCTGATATATAATTTATATTGTATATATGTACTTCTGATATATAATTTATATTGTTTCATATATAAAATTTAAAATGTTTTAGGAACTATGATCTTTTTATTGTTCATGGTGAACCGCCTCTACAAACAATTTTATTGATTAATGCAGTAAATGTGTGCGAGACAAGTGATTACGTTCAAAACAAGTAACAAGTTTAGTAATAAGAGTCGTTTAAATGGCCTGTTTGCCCGTGCAATTTGATACCATAAACTGACGAAAGAGATAAATATGCTGCAGGCTTATACCACTTTCGTCTAACTACTAGCGCTAAGGTTACATACCAATAACTTTTACTTACATCTTATTGAAGCTTATATCGTTGTAAGTCACTATTGCATTATCATATTATAAAGAACATCACAATGTACTTTTCAATATTGGAGAAAGATTTTAAATAATAATTCCATATTTGAATATCCAAGTATAAAGTTACTTATGAATAATTTTCACGTAGATCGTTATTGTTATAGAAAATATATACTACTAAAGTTAGCTTCGGTTTGTCAGATGCGGAATTTTTCTGAGTCACGAAGAGGCAATAGTGTTAATGCCGGTGTGTTATGCTCGTCACAGTTTCGAGTGTGTGTAAACGAAGCAATCACCATTATACCATTTCATTTTCCTGGAACTGTCACCAGATTCTTATAACTTTAGCAAATTTATTTATTTTCGTTACAGATATATTTTTCATAAAAATTCTGCGATTATGAAATTTTTATCACTCTTTCGAGAAAAAAAAGACAATTTTTAAATCTAGAAGTAATCTCCAGAATTACAAATTGTTCATTTGCCAGCCAATTTAAATTTTAATTGGAGACAATTCTATTACATGTTATCTTCTACTTTATCTGGCTTCAATTCAATATTATCTCTTATAGTCGACTGAAATGTTTCTTATTCCGTGCTGTACGCATGTTATGAATCATACTATATTACATAATTGTTTGTACATTGTATCAAATTGGATTTAAAAGCTAAACAGAACGACGTGGATAAGAAACAGAAAAAGAAGTCTGCAATGTCATATCAAATAAAAAAGAAAAAATATGAAATATTGCTTAAGCAAGATATAATGGAATTAAGAAATTCTTCAGAAAATTCTCGATATTTATATAAATGATAAGTTTTATCATTTATAATATATCATAAATCTTACTGGATGCGTAGATTATGTATGACTACTAATGAAAACAGAAATATTAAAAACTTTTACCAATAGTGTACTAATTATGCTTGCATACAGTTCTATCAAGTGTAGAAAAGTATAATAAAAATGAATTAAACAATCTAAATACGTGAATAGGATGTAAAGGTTTAAGATAATAAGCATAGATATATTATTAGTTACAAGAATATAAAAAGTTTATACATTGTTTATTAACTGTATGCATCTTTTAGGGAGTCAAGAAACCATTCAAAGAGGTGATAAAAGCCAATGTAGGCGATGCACACGCTATGGGTCAACAGCCCATTACTTTCTTGAGGCAAGTACTGACGTTGACGGTGTCACCACAACTTCTCGATGATCCTACCTATCCCGAAGACGCGAAAGAACGAGCAAAGACTATTCTGTGCCAGTGTAAAGGAGGCAGCGTCGGCTCGTATTCAGAATCAGTAGGAATCGAGATCATACGGAAACATGTTGCTCAGTATATTCAGGACCGTGATGGTATTCCCTGTGATTATCACAATATCATCCTCTCGAATGGCGCTTCAGATGGAATCAAAGTGTGCAGATTATTTCTTATATTATGGTCTAGAATATGCATAATATTTTTAAATTACGAGTTAATCAAACAGGAATTAAGGGATGATGAAAGATCTTTTCCTTTAATAAATTCGTGATCGATCTCGTATTATTTTTCAATAATATCTTAAGATGAGTTTGGATAACATCTTTGTGCAAACAAATATTGAGAATTCGTAGATGAGTAAACTGCTAGATATTTTTGAATTAAAGAATTATAATATTTTCGCTATTAAGAGAATAAAGAAAAATTGAGTATATGTTTATTAAATAAAAAGATAATTATATTTGAGTTTCTTGAATTTGTGATTTGAACTATACTAAATTATCAGTAATACATTTTTATTTTATACAATTTCCATATTACATAATTATAAATGTTCATATTAATTAAAACATTAAAATTAAAAATCTAAAATATTTCGTAATTTCAAAAATATTCACACTGTGCAAAAATATGTATACTTTATATACTCATTCGTATCATATTTATGTTACAGTCCGTCCTGAAGTTATTCAACGAGAAAATAGACGGAAAACCATCTGGCGTAATGATTCCAATTCCACAGTACCCTTTATACTCTGCTACTCTAGCTGAATTTGGTTTAACACAAATTGGTTACTATCTAAACGAGGAAAACAAGTGGGCACTGGATATCTGTGAATTAGATAGAGCATTGAATGAATCAAGAAGAATCTGTAACCCACGTGTACTGGTTGTAATAAATCCTGGTAATCCAACAGGACAAGTTCTCACACGTAGCAATATCGAAGACATCATCCGATTTGCATATAAGAATCATTTGTTTTTATTGGCCGATGAAGTTTACCAGGATAATGTTTACGATAAAGACAGTGCCTTTCATTCGTTTAAGAAGGTAATGACGGAAATGGGAGAACCTTATTGTAAAATGGAGCTGGCTTCTTTTATGTCGGTATCTAAAGGTACGTTCTACTTTGAGATTGGTCCATCTTGCAACTCAATATCATTCCTAATTATTATTTTTCGAATGAAATACTTAATATATTGTTAAACGAGAATACTACTTAAAACTTAAATAGAATGAACTATTATTCATAGAAACTTTTTTATAAAAATAAATAGTAATCTTTTTACTTATATCGTGGCTCAGGTTACATGGGAGAGTGTGGAATTCGCGGAGGATATGGAGAACTGATCAATATGGATCCTCAAGTAATGGCAATATTGTTGAAGTCGATATCTGCAATGCTGTGCCCAACTGTTCTTGGTCAAGTAGTGATGGACGTTGTCGTGAATCCACCAAAACCACACGAGCCATCCTACGAATTATTCCAAAAAGAAAAAGAATATACCTTACGCTCTTTAGCAGAGCGATCTCAGTTGGTAGTCGATACATTGAATAGCATTCCAGGGTTTAAGGTACTTTCCAAAAATTAATTGTATGAACTTTATATTAGGAATTACAAAACTTTAAACCTTTTACGTTTAAAAATTCTGTAATCTTCATAAAAAACTTCGAGGTTTAAATTTTTTATAGGCAAATCCAGCTATGGGTGCAATGTACGTATTTCCGCAAATCGATTTGCCAAAGAAAGCAATACAGGCAGCGGAGAAAGAAGGCCAACAGCCTGATGTTTTCTATGCTTTCAAGCTATTGGAATCTACTGGAATATGTGTAATACCCGGTTCCGGTTTCGGACAACGACCCGGAACGTATCACTTTAGGACCACGATTTTGCCGCAGAAGGAGAAAATAAAAGCGATGCTCGAAAGTTTGAAACAGTTTCATATTAAGTTCCTTGAGGAGTACAAATAAACATACGATGGAAATTTTTATACATTTTATTTCGTTTCCAAAGTGCCAGGATTACGATATCAAAATCACGAGGATCAGTATTACATCTTGTCGAAATTATCTCGGATTTATTCGAAAGAATTATTAAGAAGACATTATTTTGCAGTTTCTAATAAGAAAATTTGAAAGGAATTTTTGAAATTACATTACATCCATTATCGATCTAGTATGGAGTGGATTATGATTTTACGTAAACGTATTATATATATGAATGGAATTCATGATTCATCGAATATTTGTAAATAGCATGGATTTATAATTATATTTAAGAGATTGTATGATGTATGAATCAATGAGATTCTTTTTCCAGAATTGTAAAGATTCATGGTGGGTGACTGTGTATGTGTATCATAGTAATTCGCAAATAATTGAGGAATATGTTCTTTTACAATATCCATAACGAAATTACCAGAATATAATATACACTAGCGTAGCTAAGGAGGTGGCGGATTTTATTTATATTAATTTGATAAGTTTTATTATTTAGTTAGTTTTTACTTATTATCATTATGTCAATTGACGAAACAACAATTGTCATAAATTTACTTTTTAATACGTTCAAATCTTCCATTATTTTTGGTCTCTTGCAAGGAGCGACAAAAGGAACCGCTCCGACTAGTAAAGGCTTTATTTACGCCACAGGTTATATAGAAATTACATTGCATTTTATATTCAAGCAGATAATATCTAAATTATTTATTTATAAATGCTGAAGATTATAAATAATATTTCTGGTAAAATAATGTTGTTAGTAGAAGTAGAATATGTAGATAAACCTAAATATGATTTAACATACGATTATGTACAAATTATTCGGTATTCACCCACCAGAAAAGATTTATGTGTTCACCTTTGTCCAAGATCCTCGATATTAATAAAAAATTACACGCAGCAATTAAGAAATGGTTTAAAAACATATACAACAACCACCACTATTACATTTAGCACGAAACCTAGTATTAATTAAAGATAGGTGTAAATCTGAATGAATGTGTACTAATGTGTAAGCAGAGCTTTAATAATGACTAACTCGTACATATTGAATAAAAATGTCATTAATGACTTCGAAAACCACATCGATCTTAATCGAATGAAGAGTATTAATTCAAAGAAAATTCACAGAAAATTTTAAATGAGACTGAAAGTATCTACTGTTTGTTCATATGATCCTAGATAAAATGACAATATGATGTCATTAACTGTATGCTGTTTTTAAAGTGTACACTTACTATTTAAATAATCCGTATTTCGAAATGAAAGTTTAATGTAATCCACAAGAGATTAACAATGAAACTTATTATGAGACAATTTTTTAAAGTCAAAACAAACTATAAAATAAAGTTACCATTGTACTTTACACACAATATTCGTCTAATTATTACTAAAAAATATTTTATTCAGCTGTATGATTAGACATTACATTATTAGAATTTAATTTACAAATACTATTTCTACAAATCACTTGCAAGCCTTTCGATTTCTTCCGCGAAAAATCTTACATCAGCCTCTGTGAGTCCAGAATTCTGCAAAACAAGTCTGAAAAAGTTAGGTAGTTCGCGTAAAGGCTGATACGTGATTAACATCGACCCTTTTTTCACCATACGCTCCTTCACAGTTGGTCCAATTTTCTGGAGGACTTTTAACAAGTTTTCACCCTGCAAATGACGTTTTGAAGGTGGTATATACCAGAAGCAGACGTTCGTGCACTCAGGTTCCAATATTAAATTGAATCCTTCTCTGTGTCTTATGTAATCCGTGAAGTATTGAGCCAATTCGAAGACACGATCCACATGTCTCTCTAAACCTTGAGTGCCTTTTGCTTTCCACATAAACCAAAATTTTAATACATCTGCTCTACGACCACATTGAATATGTTTGTCCCCACTGTCAAAAGATGTACTATAGAACTTGTCTGATTGGAAGAGATAAGTAGCTTTTGAGCCATGTGCAGCCTGCAGAAGACCTTCATGACGCAGTAGCAGTGTTGAACATTGTTGTGGAGCAACCAGTAATTTGTGTGGATTCCAAGTAACTGAATCTGCCAATTCAACACCACTCAAAAGATGCCTGTATTTCTTAGACATCAAAGCTCCCCCTCCCCAGGCTGCATCAACATGAAACCACAGATTGTACTTTTTGCAGATGACAGCAATATCTTTTAAAGGATCAAAAGCACCTAAAACGGTTGTTCCTGCTGTGGCAGAAACCATTAAGGGTATTGCACCTTCATCAAGAGCCTTTTTAATTTGTACTTCTAAGTCTGTTATGGACATCTTCCCCCTATTGTCAGTTTTCACTTCAAAGACATTGTTAGTGCCTATTCCTAGAAATGCACTAAGTTTCTTTACAGAATAGTGAGCATCTTGAGATGTGAAGATTATTAATCTGCCAATACTGGATAAACCTAATTCCTTCAACTGTGGAAACCTATAAATAGTGATACATTGAAATTCGAAGTTTTATAAATTAATTAATAAATCAAAATTTAAAAGAACAAGAAGGACCTGTAATGGCGGGCTAGATTAATTGCATAACCATTGGCAATAGAACCACCTGGACAGAATATTCCTTCACCACTTCCATCCATCCAACCAATTATTTTTCTCATTTCGCACAATATTTCTTCTTCCATTAAGGAGAATACTGGAGAAACTTCATAGGTGTAGACTGATGGATTCAAGGCATCAGTTAGCCATTGTCCAAGTAGACCATATGGATCTACACTGGAATATAATTGATTTACAAATCGCGGATGACCTGTTTTTACACTGTATTTGATCACATTGTGAGCAAGGCTAATAAGTTTTTTATGTGAGCACCCCTGCTCTGACAATTTTAAATCTATAGCTGACTGCAGTGCTGTTGGCTCCATCCACTCCACTACTTTATTTTTTCTTGAAGTTCCCTAAAAAATAATTTTATATATATATTTAATACCTTAACACCTTCATAACTAATGACATAATGTTAAATTTTAGAAATATTTAGTTCCTTTCTGCATTCAAGTTATTATCAATTACTGGAAGGTAATGGATATTAATTAAGAAAAGAAATAACAAATATTTTAATTAATACTCATATATTTTTCAGGATGTACCAGATCTCTAATATATTGTATATTTTATGTTATTACATTTTATATGTATCAAACATATAGAGTTAGGATGTAGCAAACTTAATGGATATTCAAGTTGGTATTGTGTAAGTTACAAATTAACAGTTAAGTCTGTTAACATTTTCTGTGATTGAAACCAAAATATATTCTATTTCAGAGAATTTCAGCCTAGAAATTCTCATAAATTAGCATAAAGATTGGCCATTCTTCTTCTGTGAAGTAGATTTTTCCTTGTATTCTAAGTAAGCATTATTTAACTTGTAAATAGAGTAATGTGAATGCAGTTGCGACGTAATTCTTATCCATGCATTGCTAGAGAGGATCATTAACGAGCGTAAAAACCTTCTCTAATGAACATTTGACTCATATTTAATGCATAATAAACAAAAAAATTAGTATAGTAATAAATCAATGAAGACTGAGTCTCATGAATACACTGGCATGTAAGTTTGCTTTCATTAAGTTAAGTAGTTGCATCAGCCTAAGATCAATTCAGAGAAAATGCTTACTTTTATTCTTTTTCTATTTAGATTAAAATAAAAACAATAATCATTATCTTACTCATACTTAGGTAAATTACATACCTAGTTGTGTTCAATTTTAGTCATATAGTCAAAGGAAAAAAAAAAAAAAGAAAAAAAGGAAAAAGGAAACATGTGTAGATTATGAAATATAAGAGGAAAAAATGCCAGACAGAAGGAGGAAATTTTTATGACGGTGTTGTGTTCTTGAAGCATACATATAATTGGATACTTTAAAGTGAATGGCTTTGAAATAAAAAGAAATAATTGGAAGCGTTCATGTGTAACGCAAGTTATACCGAGAATCATATTTTTTGTTAGTTTTACCCTGACGAATAAAACTACAAATAATCCGTGACGATATTTTATATTTAATATTATGTTTATTCGAAGCATTTGGAAAATAATTAAGAAGAAAAATATGAGAAAAAAATTTTTTTCAACTTTGCAATTTTTTCGAAAAATTGAAAAACTATTCCGTTTTCTGCATCGTTTAAAAAATAATTAACTGAAGATTGAAACCAAATTTTAATCTTAATGGTTTATTTTAATTTTCTAATTTTATTAAAAAAATAAATTTATTCAAAAAATAAATTATCACATTTTATTTCAGTAGTAAGTAATCGAAGATGAAAGAAAAAGTTATTCGAAAAGTTAGACATTTTTCACAGATTCATTAAGTCAAAGAGTCATGTTAACCCGTGATCAAATTACCTACCCCAATTGAAACATCAATACAATTTTTGCAATAACAATATATCACGGAATAATTTTTCTTTCGCTATTGTCCTGGTTGAACTTAGCATTGTTTTTATGATAAATTCTTGCCTTAATTTTCCTATCTTTTTCCAGATTTTATATAGCTTATGCATATTAATATACGAGATAATATCAACGTAAAAAGAAATTTCAGAACGATGAATGATTCGAATTGTAGGATTATTTGCACGTCATAATGTATGCGCATAACTTATCCTATTGATAGTAAAATTGCAAATACATGAACTTTAAATGAAATTTTTCCCGGTAACAGATTCAACAGAAAAGCAAAAGATGGTACTGAAATATATAATTATTCCTTTACAATAATTTCGATTTAAACTCTATTTTATCATATTTTATCATAATTAATTTTTAGAATTTAATTAAAATTATTGAAAAGAACTTTTTGAATTACTTTCTAAATCTTTCATAAATCTTCAATCGAGATTAAGAATAAATAATTCAAACGAGTAATTTTCAAGAATATCTCAAATATTAAAATATTTCTAAGGACTAACACAAATTAATACAAATTAAACAGAAGTAATATTTAAAGAATCAATTATTATGGTATTTCTAACTATGTTTAAAAGCAATTTACCACACAATTACTTATTGCTAAGTCTCTGTTTTGAAGCAAGACAAATCAAAAGCACTAACATATATACACATTTGTTAATTTTAACAACTACCAAGTCACTTTCACCATGTCTTTATAATAACTAACAACAATGAACTTACCATAAACAGTGCCTCTTCTAGGAGCAGATCAACAAAGCTTCTCATGAATTTTTCATGAATCTCTCTCACTGGAAGACTCTTATAATGACAATGTTCATTTGATTTTCCTTTGACGATAGAACCTGGACAACCATTTTGACAGTCTTCTTCGTGGTTGTCAGGACATACACGATCAAGATTGTTCTGTAAACCGTTGTTACAAACTTTCTCCACGAAATTAACTCGTGTTTGGTCCGAGGACACGTTCAAAGTTTCCTCGTTAGCGGGCATGGTTGTGCATCGAGGTTTACCTCTATCTGCGCCAGTGGTGCTCGTACAGTTTCCTTTATACTAATCTCCACAAAGCAAGGACAAGATCGTTGTGTGTTAACTACCTTCAGCTACATTTGCTTCACTGAGATTCGCAGGACTGGTTCTTTCCGCCTTTTTTTACAACGGATATCACGGTAAAACCTTGATGGATTGGAAAAGTATCCTATATTCTCTGTTCCTGTGCAATCTGACTCAATAAATCGTATTTATTCACTAAAACGAAATCAATAATGTGTATACCAAAGAGCTTAACTCGATGGCTTATGTATAATCTTTATACATTTTCATTTAGTCGTCTAAGTATACCGATGTTTTCCCAAATGCTGCTCGCTAATTATATTTTCATACTTTGTGATAAAATATTCCTGTCGAGAATTGTTTATTTTAATTAGGCAAGAAATGTACGGAGAGATAATTATTCGTAATATTTCTTTTTCTTAACTCGTTTTATTGAATTATGTCATGAAATTATTTTCAAAATATCTTTGCTGAGTAATATCTATTTTTATTCTCATTCAATTGAAAAGAGAAAAACGAGAAAAAGGAAAGGAAAAAGGAAAATTAATCGAGAGGAACCAAATCAGCATCGAATATATTTTTGAATGACTTTCATGCAACTAAAATTGTTTTTTTTTATTTTTAACTTCGATATTTTTTAACTCCGTTTTTTTTTTTTCAGTATAATGAAAGGAATTGTGATTATTTCAAGTTAGGAGACGATCATTATCAATATTTTAATAACCGATATTTCTAATAGAAGCGCGAATAATTCAAAATGCATTCCATTACATAATTTTATTACGACTATGAGTTATACTAATGATCTTTGCCTTCTATAACATAATTGAATGACATTCGACCTTTTCCAGAAACGTTGACATATTAAAAATATTCTGAGACAAAAAATGGTCGTGTGAAACGAATTATAAAGAATACCTTATTTTTAAAGTCAAAATGTCCGCTGCTAATTGTACAAGCTGGTAAAAATTGTTTAGCAAATACTTTAACAATTGAAAGTAACTTTGATATTACACGATATGTAATATTATGTTACTTCATCTGCCTGAAAAGCTATAGACATGCAAATAACATAGTGATCTATAATGATTATACACACTCTAATAATGCGGAGAAAAAAGGATACTCGAATCATATATGCATGAATGAATATGCATGTCGAAGATTGCAGAAGTGCGAATATATCATTCACGTATCGCGTGTGCTAGTATTATTAAGATGAAACTTTCTTGAATTACAACTCCTAATCGATATCGAACTTCAATCGTAATTAAATTTCCTATAAATTAAATTACGAATATCACTTTTCGAAAGTTAGAATGGTTAAACATAGTGTATTTTCTAAGAACAAAATTTAATTATAATCGCACAGTAATTATATATTACTTGATATTTATCTGTACAAGTACTGCGAGTTACACAATATTTATAATAACTTCGAAATTTTCAGAAATTTAGGTAGACAGACTTTCTTCACTTTTCATCTCTCAGCATTGCAATATAATTCTGCGTGATAAGAAAAGTTAAAACTTAAAATGTTAAATACTTCTGGTAATTCTAAGGATTCACTGCAAATTTATAACAACAATAATTTTAATAACAACTTCATTCTTTATATAAATATATTTCTAGATAACCCAAACATATCTTTCTGATTACAGATAAATTGTTAATAGTTTTTATAATTAGAAAAATATTTCGTATTTCAGGTACTCAATATCTTAGACTTTTTGAAATCATTTCGCATAACAATGTATTCGTTAAAAAACCATTTATGAAGATTTTTATTCCTTTTGTTTAAATCTAGACAGTATAATATTATAGAACAAACTTTTTCCTCTAAAAGTTTTTTAGCTTTGAACTAATTTGACAATTAGAAATAATTCTTTCCAATATTAAAGTGATTTCAATATTCCTAAATACTGTTCCATTTTATAAAAATATAAATTGTAATGCGAGTAATTAACAAGTTCTGTTATACTTGCATTTTCATATACCTTGCGAAATCGATTATATTTAGGAAAGGGATCTATTAACATTTCCTTTTAGAGATGTGACTGTTGATAAAATTATCGATAATACCGTTTAAATATCATTGAAGTAAATTAGACGGGAGTAGATTATATTGTAATAAAATAATTTCTAAATATTAATTTTTGTTTACACTTAATTGTGGCAATATCTATTAATATATTTGTATATACTATAATTTGTATATCATAAATATAACAAACATACGCGTTTTTTTCAAAATTATATTGTTAAATCATATTTAATTTGAATTAATCAAAATTGATTAAAATTGTATATTGGTACAATATACAAAAAATAAATTTTCCAAAACTTATTAAATATACAAATATGTTATATATAATAAGTTCAAACAAAAATAAATGAATTTTAAATGATTTTTTACACTTGCGTTCTATCTCAGTCATTTTTCTATTCATCTTAAACATATCTTAACGATATTGCCGATATATCGTTGAGATATCGATAATTTATCGATAACTGATAGTCACATTTCTATTTCCCTTGAGATTCAGACATTTCAAACACTTTAAAATTTCAGACGACTTTAAAAGCTTACTAGCACAAGTATACACCAAAAGACACCATTGTGAAACAGTGATATGAGTAATAAAACTAGAGTACAAACTTCATTGAATCTGTTTCATATAAGATATATTGTAAGTATTGATAAATTATTTTTTAAAAATTTACTTGCTATGTAACATTTATATAAGTATTAGTTACAGAAAAATTTCAATGAAATCTGTTTCGGATGTTTTCATACTGTTACAAACGTGTTATACATATACTATTCTGAACTGTTTTATAGTTTTCATTGCTTCATTTATCGTCTGATAGAAATTCTTACAAACTACATTATATCTATGTTTTAAAATATACAATAATATTAATATAAACTAATTTATTATTTATTATAATAAAATATACTGTGACAAAGTGAAACAATGTTAATTAAAATCTTTTGTGTAAGATTTCAAAATAGTATAAGTTTCAATTATATCCACAAAATCTTAAATGCATACAGATGTTATCAATTATATATCAATATTTTATAAATTTATATTTAATATAATTAATTTTTAGAGCATTAGAACAGTATTTACCCTGAAATAGCTCATATAGATTATCATGGTTGCACAATGCTAGTAAAAAATTAGTTCTTTATATTTGCTCTTATCCTTCTATATCAACATAACTATAACTGCATTCAAATTAGTCTAATAATGCATTTAGTTTCCATTGAAGTTATGTTACTATAATATAGTAACGCTTTAACCAAAATAGGCACCACAATTAGAACAACGTCGTGTCTTTAACAACAAGCAGCAAATTATTCCAAATGGGAAGAATAGAATTGCACATAGTAGTCCCAAACATGTAAAATCATCTTCCATTACGCCCACCTATGTTTTAATGTCTGATTTTAATAACAAAGAAGTTTAGAAATATAATATTATATTTAAAGATTCAAACAATTTAATGGTAAGCATAAGAGAAAGTAGATAAGATTTATTTATTTTAAAGAATAAAAAATAGTTAACTGAGAAATACTTACTCTACATGCAGGACATCCTCCAACTAAAATAATTTCTGGCATAATTATAGTAGTTGATTGTGTAGAACCATAAGAAGGTACATAGTTGCAATTATTAGTTCCACTGGCACTAGGATAATATCCAGGTGGTGGGGGCCATGAAGTGAATCCTCCACATTGTGTGGAACTATAACCTGAAGGTGGTTGCCATGAAGAATTTGCTGGAATGATGTTATATTATATACATGTTATTATCTGCTATTAATAAAAAACCTATTTTTAAATACAGGACATTAAAATATTGCAAGTTAATTTATTTTTTTACGTTATTACCCAACCAATTTAGATCATGTCTTCAAATATAAAAAACAGACTAAACTATTACAAATAAGAAATATTTATTATATAAGGATAATACAATTTTTTTGAATAATACTAATAACAGATAAACAAGTTACTTTTTCAGGTTTCATATAATAATATTTCACAATATTCAGCACTAATAATATATAACTCTTCTTAATTGTTTTTTAAAGTTTTGATAATTATAAACTTTGTTAATTCATTTCCTAAAATTTCATAAATACGTAATATTTATACGAAATATAAAAATTATTATGAGATAATCAATTAAACTTAATCATTTGAACGTTAAACGTAACAATCAAATCAAATAACAGATGAGATTAATTTTTCAAATTTTTTATTATCAAAACGATGAAAAGTAGAAAAATTTTAACTTTATTACTCACTTTTCGGTGCAGTGGCCGCCGAGTAAGACGGAGGTTTGTCATTTGGATTCAACGGTTGTTTTTCCATCGCGTAATAATTAAATAAATCACTTTTATTAGCAATGCATACAATAAATCAGTCTTATTAGAAAGTTAGCATTGGTACAATGTTTTTTTGACAGCTAGCACCCGTAATTGTCTCCAAGTCTTGTGACGCGGTTCCAAAACAAATAGTATATCACTACTTCCGCTCAAGAGAATTCACCAAACCACATGAGATTAAGATTTCTTTTTTATTTCTTGATTAGAAAATGAAACTTCATTGGCCGATAGATCATGACGTCATTTCATTATATTCGTTTTAATTTAATACACGTTTCAAATTGTATGACTCACGTGCGACGCGTTTATGTGTGCTATTATAATATATTTCACATAGAAAAATTGATTTATAGGAACTGTACACATTTTTATTTAAAGATCTAAGAATTATAAATTATAATTAAAACAAATAAAAATTTAATTAGAATCATGAAATATAACTTAAGATTTCCTGTATTTGAATTAAAATGAACTTTTGACTTACACGTGACACTTAGATGTAACTAATTTAATGCATTTTTAAATACCTTTATAAAAATTAGTTATATTAAAAAATTATTAGTTACTTCAATCATTTATTTGAATAGTTATGTCCACCATTTAATTCTTTTATTAATTTATATTGAACAAAAACCTGTTCAAAATAACAATAAAAATAATAAGTATTAAACAAAAATAAAGTATCGTGGCTATATTAATAAACCTATATGATTTATTAATTATTCAATTATTTCACATAAATAAATTTACTTCTGTGTAAATACTGCGTATTTAATTATTATATCCATCTTTATACGCCCTCTAGTGTTAAATGAATGAAGTTGTGTACATAATGGATACAATTAAATATCTCTTACACTTATTACAGATTTATTAAAATTGAAACAAAAATGTATAATTGAATTTAAGATAATATATTCTTATTGTGATAAAAACTTTTATATTCTAAGTAGTGTAAGCAATAAAAATAACTTTAAAAAATATTACAAAATTTAGAACAGTGATTCGATTTTCCCGCGATTATTTAATGCAGTACCGTCTATAGAAAATAGTATTCTTAAAGTTTTATCTTTTTTAATTTCCTGTGAATTTAAATTATTTTAAATTAATAGTCGTCATTAACAATACACTTTTTCAATGATAAATATATGTTTTAACATTTTTATATTTTAGTAAATGAGAAAATGTAGAAATCTAATCAAATTTGAAATGTTACAAGTACAGTACTGACCTAGGGATCTCTAAATTTTTTTATAAATAACTAGTAGATCGAGGGCGCCACATGGTCTTTCTTCGCCGTTTTAGTCTTTCTCTTGTGTCGTTTCTTTGCTGTTTCGAAAGCTTCCTGTCATTTTTGGAATTTCGTCATCGGTCCGTATAATTTCATAAAAAATGATTTGTATTACGGTTCTATGACGATATCTACTTGAAAAATTACTGCTGCATCTATTTGCCGTTCTCAAAGTTCCTGATCGATCCGCGATTCGTGGACAGTGTCGCAGAAGTTCCCAGTCTCCACGAACTTCTGGCTCCAGAAGGTGGTGCAAGGTGATGCTTGAGAAACCGGTATACAAATCATGGTGTTAAAGATGCGAGACTCTAGTCGAGTCGCGTGTGCTCCCATGCCAGCCTAGCAGAGGAATTAGCGCGGCCCGGCGACGATGCGAGATAACTCCAAAGAGATGTTCATTATCAGAGCTTTGGAAAAGATCCTGGCTGACCGGGATGTCAAACGGTCGCATCTCTCTCAACTTCGAAAATCCTGCGAGACTGCACTCGGTAAATGCATTAATGACGAAAGTTTCCTTTATGGTGACACAATATGTGTAATTGAAGAAATAGTTTGACTTATGCAAATAAAATGAAAGTATACATACTGTATTAAATGTTCAAAGTTGTAATGTATTGCTATAAAGTAGTATAAATAATAGTATTAAACATATTTTATGATTTGTCTTATTAATTTTGTATTTTTGTTTGTTGATTTTTTTATGTTACAATATGATTTTAGTTATGTATTATAATTGATAGTAGATTTATGGGTATAAGTTCTTTAAGCATTAAAAATTAAGTGATAGTATTACATCTCTTGGTCTTCATTGCAAGATTTAAATTGTATTAATCTGATGTTTTAATATGTCACATTAGCTGGAATTTCTCTTAATCTGTTAACGACACCTAAAATAATACTTATATTATTTAATAATATATATATTTTGAATAATGTAACCATATTGAATGTTATTAAATTACTTGAACTTTGATATTTGATGCATGTGTGTTGTAACATATTAAATATACACAATGTCTGATTATAGTATTCAATATATGTATTATTTGTTATTTGTATCTATTTTTAATTATTTATTATTGTACAGAATTATTTTATTTTTGATCTTTAAGAAATACAAAATAAAAAGAGTTTCTTATTTTTAAAAGAATATGAAAATCAATTATTATTTTAAATATATTTTATTTTTCAGATAACCTACGAAATGAGATCAAAGAAGGTTCAGGCACTCAAGTCTCAACTGCTTTGCCACAGCCTCGTAGTGATTCATATGTTATTTCTGCAGAGAAGTATTTTCTCCCCTTTGAATTGGCTTGCCAAAGTAAATCACCAAGAATTGTGGTCACTGCTTTGGATTGCCTACAAAAACTAATTGCATATGGACATCTTACGGGAAATGTACCTGATTCTACAGAACCGAATAAATTGCTCATTGTTCGTATTGTTGAAACAATATGTGGATGTTTCATGGGGCCACAGACAGATGAAGGCGTTCAGTTACAAATTATAAAAGCTCTTCTCACAGTAATGACCAGTCAACATGTAGAAGTTCATGAAGGTACTGTATTACTTACTATTCGTACAGTGTACAGTGTCTATCTGGCATCAAGGAACTTAGTTAATCAAACTACGGCTCGAGCTACACTCACCCAGATGATCAACGTTATTTTTGCACGCATGGAAACACAGGCAGTATGTTTACCAAGTAACTGATGCAAAACAATGAAAATTTATATAAAATCATAGTAAAAAACACTTTTGACTGTTCTATTATACTAGGAAGAAGAGAACGTTCGAAGTGAGGTAGAGCAACCTGAAACGACCAATGTGAACTCTACTAATTGTACTTCCGGAGGAGATTTCGAAACCGAGGCGGTAAATCATGAAAAACCGTCGACGGAGAGTAGTAATCAAGAACCACAGTTAATAGTCCGAGGGATCTTGGAGGATATGGTAAACCTTGTTGTTCCTGAAGATTCGACAAATCCAACTACAGTAACTTCGGAGGAGGCTAGCTTAGATCAAGTGCCTATAGATGAAAATTCTGACGAAACAGTTGCGGAAAGTGATAATATGGTCAGGGCAAAGTTTACACACGTGTTACAAAAGGATGCCTTCTTGGTTTTCAGGGCACTTTGCAAGCTTTCTATGAAACCACTTCCTGATGGCACTCCAGATCCAAAGTATGGAAAATATTTTCATTAAAGTAGTATTTTAGTGTAAACAATTGTCTTCTAATTAATTGTTAACTAAAATATAAGAAAAAAATATGATTCCAAAATTGTAATTTTTCTATAAGACATAATTCTGTGATATATTCTTTCTAGGTCCCACCAGCTTAGGTCAAAGATACTTTCTTTACAATTACTTCTGGGTATACTACAAAATGCTGGGCCAGTGTTACGCTCTAATGAAATGTTTGTTATAGCCATAAAACAATATCTCTGTGTAGCACTTTCGAAGAACGGTGTGTCTTCCGTTCCTGAGGTGTTTGAATTGTCTCTCGCATTGTTCCTTGCACTTCTGGCTCGCTTCAAAGTACACTTAAAGATGCAAATAGAGGTTTTCTTTAAGGAAATTTTTATGAATATTCTTGAGACTTCGAGTAGTTCCTTCGAACACAAATGGATGGTGATCCATGCTTTAACTCGCATTTGTGCGGATGCGCAAAGTGTTGTAGATATATATGTAAACTACGACTGCGATTTATCAGCTGCGAACCTGTTTGAAAGGTTTGATAATAATAAATATTTATAAAACTATTGAGTAAGATAGATTTTATATATTTTTCTACTTATTACAGACTTGTAAATGATTTATCAAAGATTGCACAGGGTAGACAAGCACTAGAATTAGGTGCTTCAGCCAATCAAGAAAAATCAATGCGAATTAGAGGCCTTGAATGCTTGGTGTCAATCTTAAAATGCATGGTTGAATGGAGCAGAGATCTGTACGTGAATCCGAGTGTACCAGCTGATCAGCAGCTCCCATCAGAGCCTCCTGATCCCCCAGTAGAGCCTCCACTACCACGTTATGGAAGTGCTGGCAGTCTATCCTCTGCAAACTCTAGTTTGGTGGGCAACAAAGAAATTCCAGATTCTCCTGAGCAATATGAAGTGCAAAAACAACAAAAAGAAGTGTGGGAAACTGGAATTGACATGTACGAATTATAATTAATTTTCTTTCTACATACTTGATGTGTTTCTTTGACTCATTCTGATATTTAAAATATCAGTTCATCTTTTATTAATTAAATTGGTATTTTTACCTTTAGTTTTAATCGAAAACCAAGCAAGGGAGTACAATACCTCCAAGAACAAAGTCTTTTGGGTAATTCATCTGAAGATGTTGCTCGTTGGCTTCATATGGATGAACGACTTGATAAAACTGCAATCGGTGATTTTCTTGGCGACCATAACCATAATCAAGTGATGTACAGCTATATTGATCAAATGAACTTTGCCGATCGCGATTTAGTTACAGCGCTCAGATATTTTCTCGAAGGTTTTCGATTGCCAGGCGAGGCACAGAAAATTGATCGATTAATGGAGAAATTCGCCAGTCGATATTGTGAATGTAATCCAAAGTAAGCAATCTCTATCCCAACTTCCAATATTACTTATATCGATTAATTACTTTTTTTCAACATTTCTAGCAATGGATTATTCACAAGTGCAGACACTGCTTATGTATTGGGCTTCTCAATCATTATGTTAACTACCGATCTCCATTCGCCTCAAGTGAAAAATAAAATGACGAAAGAACAATATATAAAATTAAATCGACGTATCAGCGACAATGAGGATTTGCCCGAAGAGTACTTATCGAAAATTTATGATGAGATAGCGGGTAATGAAATTAAAATGAAGTCCAATCCTAATCGACCTGGAAAACAAGGTAAAAAGAAAAGAGAAAAATTAAGAGTATAAAAAAAATTGCTATAATGAAATGTTATTAATAATTTTAAATATTTTTGATGCTATAGTAATATCGAGTGAAAAGAAACGGCGCCTTTTATGGAATATGGAAATGGAAGTAATCTCAACCGCGGCTAAAAACTTAATGGAATCTGTTAGCCATGTTCAAGCACCATTCACTACAGCTAAACATCTGGAGCACGTGCGACCAATGTTTAAAATAGCATGGACGCCATTTCTAGCAGCATTCAGTGTTGGTCTTCAAGATTGCGACGATCCTGAAATTGCCTCTCTTTGCCTAGATGGTATTAGATGTGCAATACGCATTGCTTGCATATTTCACATGACGGTAAATGTTACTGCGAAATTTTAAATTACTACACTAATCCAGTTCCAAGATGCAGTTTTATTCAATCAATTACTTTTATATCAACTAATTGGAGTTGGATAGTGTAGAATGTACAAAAGTAGAAAAGTAAAGGTAAAATATATAAAATATTTTTTGTAAATGTATCTCTTTCCATCAATTATAGTTAGAGCGAGACGCGTATGTACAAGCTTTAGCACGATTTACTTTATTGACTGCGAATTCACCAATTACTGAAATGAAGGCAAAGAACATCGATACGATTAAAACTTTGATCACTGTGGCTCACACCGACGGTAATTATCTTGGCAGCTCTTGGCTGGACGTCGTGAAATGCATCTCTCAACTTGAGCTTGCCCAGTTAATTGTCACTGGGGTCAGACCCCAACTCCTGGGTCCACTTTCAAAGCCACATTTTCCTTCACCATTGGTGAATTTCAATTTAACTCACAACAATTCTCATCAAAATAATAATTTGAATCTCAGTTCATTGGATCGTAAGTATATATTTGTGCTGTCACTATTTATCAATTTGTTAATAATATAACGGGGAAGTAAAAATAGTACATAAAAATATACATGTACTATGTATTGGCAGAAAAACAAATGGAAGAAATATAGATTAATTATATCTCTACAGGTATATTTTTTGTATTACAATCATTCATTTTGTATTACAATTGTTCAGTCAAATAGGGTGAACGAAATACATTAAAACCAAGTGGTATAGAGTAGACATAGATTCAGTGTGTTAACGATTCATATAAGATAAAAACTATATTGTGTATGTTATTAAAAATCTAAGATTGGGAGTTTGGTTAACTTATTAGAACATTTTTCTAGCAATGCATAGTACTTTTTTTGAAATTAATTCTTTGAAAATTAAATTTTCTTTGATAAGAATTTTATTTGTTAACATTTATTTATTTTTTTCATGAGAAATTACATCCACTAATATTAGAACATTGTATATAATTCATCCTTTTATTTTTTTTATTTTTTAGCAAGTGTAAAGGAGTCAATAGGAGAAACAAGTTCCCAGAGTGTGGTAGTGGCTGTTGACAGAATATTTACAGGTTCCACCAGATTAGATGGAGATGCTATTGTAGAATTTGTGAAAGCTCTCTGTCAGGTTTCTTTGGAAGAACTATCTCATCCAACACAACCAAGAATGTTCTCTTTGACTAAAATTGTAGAAATCTCTTATTACAACATGGCACGTATCAGACTTCAATGGTCCAGGATTTGGCAAGTCTTAGGAGATCATTTTGATAGGGTTGGCTGTAGTCCTCGCCAAGACATCGCTTTCTTCGCAGTTGATTTTTTGCGACAACTTGCAACCAAATTTATTGAAAAGGGAGAATTTGCTAATTTCCGATTTCAAAAGGATTTCCTCAGACCATTTGAGCATATCATGAAGAAGAATAGGTCCCCCGTTATTCGGGATATGGTGGTTCGTTGTGTTGCACAAATTGTACATTCACAGGCTCCCAACATTCGATCGGGATGGAAAAATATATTTAGCGTATTTCATCACGCAGCTAGTGATAGAGATGAAGCTGTAGTTGAGCTGGCGTTTTCTATGACTGGAAAAATTATAAGTGAGTGTTTAAGGCAGTAATTTAAATTAATTTGGTTTGTATAAGATAATATATTTGATATATATTTTTAGATGAATTATATGCTGAAGACTTCAGTATTATGGTCGATTCCTTCCAAGACGCCGTAAAGTGCCTCAGTGAATTTGCTTGCAATGCCTCCTTTCCAGAGACAAGCATGGAGGCTATAAGGTTAATACGTTCTTGCGCGTCATATATTGACGCTAATCCAAACCTCTTTGCGGAAGGCATGATGGACGATAGTGGGATGGTATCTGAGGAAGATAGAGCTTGGGTAAAGAACTTTATCCAATAAAGTTTCCATAAGTGACATTATTTTGGAATCGCTCAGTGACAATTATAAATACAATCTTCTGGAAAAATCTTTATTTCGTATAGTTTGGAATTTTCTTTTATACAAATATATTTAATATATTTGAAAGATTTTTCCAAAAAAAAAATGAGACTAGATATTATATAGTTAAGATAATTCTAAATTGATAATAATAGTATAGTAATACATATTGCATAATGAGTGACTAGAAAGTGCATTATTGAATGTATATGTAATACTTTACAGATTGACTTTTCACTCTGTACTAAACTAAATCTTACTTATGTTGTTGTACTGATGATGGAAAAACATAAAAGCAAATGCTAAAATGCTAGTAAAGTTAACAAAGTTGGGCAAGTTCAAGTAGCTTAATTGGTTTTAAGATTGAAATTCATATACTGTTTATATAATTAACGTCAAGCAAACTTAAAATACTGTCACTTACAAAGACATTACTATACATATAAAATATTGTTATAAAAAATTTGCAAGTTGAAGAATTTTTTATTTTCCTTTTAGGTTAGAGGATGGTTTCCACTGTTATTTGAACTATCATGTATAGTGAGCAGGTGTAAGTTAGATGTTCGTACACGTGCACTGACCGTTCTTTTTGATGTTGTAAAGACACATGGAGCTTCTTTCAAACCCCACTGGTGGAAAGATCTTTTTCAAGTTCTATTCAGAATCTTTGATAACATGAAGCTTCCTGAACAACATACAGAGGTAACCAAAAGAATTTATTTATTTAATTCTTCCATAGTAATTGATGTTTATTTAAATTATTTTTACAAGTTGGTCAAAAGTAGTTGTTTAATACACTCTAAATCGATGATACATTTCGTATATTTTATTTTATTCAAGCTAACACTAAAATGTCTACATATTTTTATATCAGTATTCTATTGGCAAATATGTATAGTAATATATATTTCTTACTGAAACTTTTAATGTTTCAGAAAGCAGAATGGATGACAACAACATGCAATCACGCTCTATACGCGATTGTCGATGTATTTTCACAGTTTTATGATACTTTAGGCCCTCTTCTCTTAGAACAGTTATATTCTCAGCTACTATGGTGCGTGCAGCAAGATAATGAGCAATTAGCACGTTCTGGAACTAATTGTTTGGAAAACTTAGTGATCAGTAATGGGATTAAGTTCGATGAACAGACTTGGGAGAAAACTTGCAGTTGTGTCCTTGATATCTTTGAAAGCACTCTACCATCTGCTTTACTTAGCTGGAAACCCCAGTCGCCTAATAAGGAATCTGACTTAGATATAATTACAGGAGAAGTAGATGGTCATGTGGGGATCCTCAAAAGAAGCAATAGCTCACAAAGTTTAACAAATGGCGAGACCATAAAAAACAAAGTTTTTTCTGCATTATTAATCAAATGTGTTGTGCAATTGGAGTTAATACAAACAATAGACAACATTGTGTTTTACCCGGCTACATCTCGGAAAGAGGATCAGGAAAACCTAGCGCTGGCGCAGGCGGACATGTTTAATGGAAAGTCCTCTGAACTAGGTGTAAGAGCTGGTGCAGACCAGCAGAAAGAAGAGCAGGGCATGTATTGTGCTCTCACTACTACACACTTATTACAATTAGTTGAATGTTTGTTAAAATCTCATAGATTTGCAAAGAGTTTTAATTCCAATCATGACCAACGGAATGTGTTATGGAAAGCTGGTTTCAGAGGCAATGTGAAACCAAATTTGCTTAAGCAAGAAACGCAATCTTTAGCGTGTGCATTAAGAATTCTATTCAAAATGTATAGTGACGAGGCTCACAGGGCTGATTGGAGTAAGGTGAAGACTAGGCTTGTAGAGGTGACTTGTGAAGCACTGGAATATTTCTTGGCGCTTTCTAATGAAGCTCATAGAGATGCCTGGACTCCCATACTGTTATTACTCCTCACAAGAATTCTGAAGATGAGCGATAATAGGTTCGCGGTCCACGCGTCCAGTTGTTACCCCCTACTCTGTGAGGTTATGTGTTTCGATCTCAAACCGGAGTTAAGGTCTGTACTTCGAAGATTCTTTCTGAGGATTGGTCCGGTATTCAGGATCACACAACAGTAGTGGTTGTAATTAATCATTGTAAAGAGTGAGGTTATATAATTTTTTGAGTTGGTTCTACCTAGAAAGAAGGACTTCTTGTAATTTGAATTGGTTATAGTTTTTTTCTAGATAAATATGGAAGTTTATGAAATTAGGTTAGTTTCAATTACCTCTTTAGTTATATTTTTGAGTGACAAGATGTACAGTAGGATACAAAATGTTTGAGCTGATTAATTTTTGATTCTTACTTTGAGGAAAAAATGCTAAACTAAATTTTATATTATAGGTAGTTAAAGAATAATACAAGTACAAGGTAAAGTGTGGTTTTATCATTTATTTTAGCTTTTTTCCCAAAGCAGAGAATAAAAATTAATTATTCAGAAGGGTTGCATGCTACTATAAAAATTTAAATTCTAATAATATATAATATTTGCTTTTATTTGTAATGTGAAAAAAAAACTATAACTTGTTCTTGCAAGAATTTTTCCTATATTTTGACGCAAATTAGAATGGAAAAGAAACAAATTGTTTAAAGTATTTTTTCTCGAAAAAAAAGTTTATTAAATACAGAATCTGTTTGATATTTAAGGATGGACGTATGAAATAAATTGTCAAACAAAGTGAAACATGTTTTAGCAAAATTCTAGGGGAAAGCGTAATATGCATGTATTGTATATGTTCCAAACCCTGTTTATATCAACATATTCTTCATTTTTATAAGGAAAAGGAGACTTTGAGCAAAGAATTATGTACTTCAATCAATATATGTATACAGGGTATTTAATAAATAGAGTATTTTCTGGACATGATAAAATATGCAATTTCAAAAAGAAAATACTAATAATAGATTTTTATTTGAGTGTATATTCTTCAAGTTTACTTGTTTACATTTCAATTTAAACTTAATTATTTTAGGCACTGTTTTAATGGTATTCTATTGAATTTAAATTTTGTTGTTATAATTGAAAATTAAATCAAAACATTCCTAATTAAATATTCGTTATGGTATTAATTAAACAGGATAGAAGATGTTTAACAAATGTTGGATCGAGGAGAAGAAATTATTTATAAAATTGTATAAAGTAATCTCTTGCAAATAGATTTTCTGCATATTTAGTATATGTCATCATGCTCTAGGTGTTGAACAAAAAGAAAAAAATACTTCTGTGTTCCCAGGGAATGCACTATTTATCAAATGTTTTGTATATTCAGTTGCTATAAAAGTATACAAAGTGTCTTTTGAAGTATACTGTATTGTAAAAAAAAAATAGCTTATCGAGTAAAAAGACGGTGATTTTCGATATTTTTATAGAATTAATTAGTAACATTATAACTTCTAAATAAGTTGAGAATTTATTAACCTGTAGCCAAATAGAATCATTAATAAATTATGTTTTTGATTAGAAATTTTTTCTACAGTACATTTTCTAAGACACTTTTTGTATATACGAACAAAATACTTAGGAAATGATGGTATAAGCGAGAAATGGCAGATATTTAATTAAAAATAAAATAACCATTCTGTTTAAAGATGTTTTTTATTTTTATAAGTGTTATAATCAAAATGACGAATAACTATATTGAATCCCGATATTCTTATATTTAAAAAGATGAGTAAGTGTCTCAGTATTAAATTTTGAAGCCTTAATGGCTTAGTTCTTTGTGTGTTTAAAATTCATTTAACTTTCACCAATTTTTGTCAGAACTTTATCTTTTAATTTTTACGTATTTTAATTTATTTTACTATATTGAAATGAGAATAAGTAGTAAAATATTAACGGTTAAAGATAAGTAAAAAGTCAAAGAGATAATGCAGTAGCAAAGGGGAATTTAAAAAGTGTCCTGTATAATTTATTATGTGTTTAATACCGTAAAGTTTCTCATTTCTAGCTTGTACTACTATTTTCGAAATACATAGTCTGTGTATAAAATGCAATACGCGCATAGTCATCACGGAATAGTCGTATAAATATAAATGTCCATCGCGGATAGGTGTTCAGACAACGAGTGATAGTTATCCTGATAACTCACTAGGGTTTCGATCGTTATACATAGAGTTAGTTTAATAATAAGACACAAGAAATCCCGTGGACACATGTTGCATGTATATTCACATCGCATAGTAACTATTTATGCTTAAGTTAGATTAATTATTTACATAATGCAGCCTTATTTAAATAAATTCTAGAGAAATGAGAAGATACTTTTGATTCTGGGTTACCTTTTTATTTAAAAAGAAATATCATTGGTCAAGCATATTTTATTTATATATATGAAATTGAAACAATTTTAACTCATATTTACAGAAAAATATTTTTATTCAGTATATTCTAAGAAATGCGAATAAGTAACAATAAATGTTTTCAAAAGGAATAACTGGGAATTGCTCCAAACCATTCTTGAATGAAAACTAGAATATCATTAAGATTTGAATTTTGAGGAGCTTGCCGCGCCGTGTTAATCAATTTTGTCCAATCATCACGATCCGCCAAATGCTCACTCTTAACAAAAAGCAATTAATTATTATTCTCTGAACAAAATTTAAAAAATACTTTAAAGTTACAAAAGTACCTCTGGAAATCTAATTATTGGACCTTGAACAGGATATCCAGTCAAGATACAATGTTGAAGGCTTCCAGAATCAATGGTACGAGCAGTCAGTGATCCTATGTATACTCCTCTATGATCTGTAGGGAGAATTTGTTCTACTTTCTGATCCATGGACACAGCAAGAACCCATTCACGAGCCTCTTCTCTCTGTTCCACTGTTAAACTTAATGTTTGTGGTAAAGGAACTTCCACTGGGAAGTCTGTTACAGCCAAATCGTCAACATCTAATACAGTACTATCACCTTCTTCAATGCATTCTTCCAAATCCAAAAAGTGGTTCAGGAAGACAAAGGCTTCAGTGTTCTTTCCAGCTGTACGTGCTTCGATTCCAGCTTCATAGTAAGCTCGATCGACAAGAATGAGATCCGTGTATCTCAATAAAGTGATAGAGACTTTCAGTACGATACCAGAAAGCACAGGATAGTCGCGGCAGCCACATTTCACTGCTGAGTAGTGTGTAGCTTCGAGCAGTTTCCCAAATTTAGATTTTGACTCAACTTCTGATAATTTTATACTGTTCCAAAAATTTAAAAGTACTGTTCGTAAGAGAGCCAAATGTTTATATTCATAGTAAGCCTGAAACAACATATAATAGCATATAAGTAAACGATTACTAACACGACTTCTACCATGATTACTTATTCGGGGAAGAGTATCGTTTTCTAACGAAATCATTCTATGTCCGGAGTAAGCGAAATAAAGAAGTAGCAACTTATTTTTGTCAAGAGGATCAGAAGAAGCTCAGCAGTCTTAATTAAAAACATTGATGGATGATTTATTAGGAATTTATTAGAAATTATTCTTTACTTCAGTCCCGTTATCAATCAATTATAGTCGATTTTACAAGGCTAGTGGAAGTATGATTGCATATCAAGAAAATTCTCATTACCTTATTTTTAAATTTATAATTAATTGTAATTTAAATACCTCAGAGTTTAGAACACTCTCCGATAATTGCAAGTAGAGATTAAAATTTTGTGGAATGGGAGGAGCACCGTACTTAACGTACAAATGCAAAGCTTCTAATGGAGCATTTCCTTTCAGAAGCTGTGCTGCTCTTTGTGCCACATATTTATGCAAAATTTGTGTGTCCTGGGTGCTTGCAGTTTCAAATACTTGGTTCCATTGACCCTTATTAGCCAATATTTCAAGTCCAGCATCTGTATCTATCTCGACAAGTCTGTCTATTTGTCCATCTCTTAACATTGCTTCTTTGTACTTCTCTTCGAGATAAGGTTCTATATCTGGTGCCAGTTCATTTACAATTCGTTTGGCTTTTTCCCATTCTCCAACAGACGCTAATGCATCTATTGCGTCTTTCAGTCTATCTGCTTGTAAGAATACCTAGAGAAAAGAAAGAAAGAATAAAATATGTGAAATTAAATCACTGTTATATTCAATGGATATTCAATGAAAAGATAGTAACTTGGGCAGCAATAGCGTATTCTCCAATAGCAAATAATCGAGAACCAAGGTTTTCTCCGATTTGAATAGCAGTTTCTGGATCAGCTTGATGAATCAAGATATCAGCCGCTTTGATGAGAAATGATCTAGGTGCTTGAGGATCGAGAGTCAAGATATCTAGAGCAGCTCGCACTTCTCCGACTTCTAACCACTTCCTGGCTTCCTCAAATGCGTTTGTGCCAGCAAGAGAGGCACTCTTTTGACCCAGTTCACGTCGAAGATTTGTTTCTTGACTCGGTAAATATTCTCTGCAAACACGTAATGCTTCGGACCACATTCCAGCTTTCTGTGAAATTTAAAACGCATTAGAAAGGAAAGAGCAATATAATGCATTTAGCAAATAATATAGTTACTTTATAATTTTCGATAATGATTTCAGGTTTATGGGCTCTCAGTAGCAAAGTCTCAGCCAAGGAATAGTCCTGTGCTTCAGCTACTTCATTGGCCCTAGCAATAAGTACTTGAGCAACGGCATTTTGGTCGATCGATTGGGCTACATCTTCAGCAGCTTCCCAATCTCGAGTGTGAATGTACATTTGAACGGCTTCCATGGTTCTTCCAGCTTTGATGAATTCTTTCTCCGCCTCAGAGAAGCGACCTGCGTCTTCCAGTGCCATGGCGTATCTATAATGAACCTCTTTCTTTTGATCAGCATTTCCATATTTGGCTATTTCTAAAGCCCAGTCGAATAAATCAGCTTCACAAGCTAACTGCAAACAGCCGTCTAAATATTTTAATCGCATCAGTAGTCTTGCTGCTAATTCTGGTGCAAGTGTACGTGCCCATATTAAAGCAACCTATAGAAAAGTACGAGCTTTTAATTATCATATATAATTTTGATTAAAATCCAGAATTATTATAATTAAGACCAATTGGCCTGTTTAATAATTAAGACCTGTTGGGCTGCATCCTCTCCAGCATTTTGTTTTGCCACACGAAGTGCATCCTCCCACATGTTAGCTGATCTGTAAGCAGTTACTGCACTTCTCCAGTCACCAGCTGCAAGATAATGCTCCTCAGCCTCTCGAGGTTTGCCAAAATCATTCAGTTCTTTAGCTAGATGTGCATGAGTAACCTCCAAAAGGTCTGGCCTGTATCTTGCTACTAGTCTAATCATATCTGCACGACGTCCAGCTTTTCTGTACATTGCTATCGCCGAATCGTATTTACCAATAGCAAGATATAGTTCTTCAGCATGTTTGAGGTTTCCTGCTTCAGAGAAAATTATAGCATGTTTAGTAAGAATTTCATTTGCTTCTTGAGGGGTCATATACTCCTGCGCCACTTCGTGAGCACGACTCCAATTGCCATTTTGTATGTGAACATCTACTGCTCGTTTAGCATCTCCAGAACGAATAAATAACTTTTCCGCCAGGTTTTTTTCACCTATAGAGGCGAAATATTCGGCCAGTTTTTCGCATTGCTTCCTTATCTCCGGATCATCATCCTCAATCACCTTTGTGAAAATTTTTAATAAAGTTATTTGTATTTAATTTAAAAAATATACTTACTTGTATGATCTGTAGACCTTTTCTCCATTGTCGGGCATTGATAGCAGCATTCAGAGCTAGAGCAGTTTCTCCTGCTTCTATAAAATGATTAATAGCTGCATCATAGTGACTAGCAGAAGCCAAATGCTTGCCCCAATCTCGTTCAAGATCAACTACTGAAGTAGGATCCACTTTTCTGGCCAATTCTAATGCTCTTGCAAATACACCAGCTTGAGAGTAACATTTGATAGCTTCTAAAGGATCCGAAGTTTTTTCCAATAGTTCTCCAGCCAGTTCCATCAAGTCTGTTGCCTTCAAAACTCTTACAATTTCATTGACAATTGATTTGTCTTCTAGCAGTTCGTCATTAGTCAAGACAAGTCGTGCTGCTCGACCAGGTCGACGAGCATCTAAGTACAACTTTACTGCTCGTCGAGGATTAGTGGATTCCAAAATAACAGCAGCTCTGGCTGCTTGACCACTTTCGAGTAACCAAGTTAGATGTTTGTCTCTGAGTTCTTGGAGACCTGGCCATCCTCTGTTTTGCGCCAAACTCAGTGCATCTTCCCAGTGCCAATATTTCTGATACATGTCCAGAGCTTGATCTAATTCATTCTGCTCCAAGTAAATTACTTCCGCAGTTTTTAATTCGCCATTTAGAATTGCAAGCCTTGCCCAACAGTCAGGACATGAAAGTGGATCATTACCAGTTTCTGCACTATACTTTTCACCAATCTTTATTATATTTGATAGAAATCTGAACAAATAACTTAGTGTTATAAAATTTATAAGGAAAAAAAGAAACATATATAAACGATACCTGGAGCAGGCTACATCTCCAAGAGCTGCATAACATCTTGCAGCCACCAATAACTGTCTAGCAGCCATTGCGTTTCTAGCTACATTTTCCCACATAGCTTCTGCTTGAGGTCTATCTGCCAATTCCTCCAAGAACAGCAGAGCTCTACCAAAATCATTATCGTGCAGTGCTGTACCAAACTCTATTAGTGGTTCATCTAGCAAGTAAGCCACTTTGCCTCCGAGTTCCTCTACCATGACAGAAGTCCTTCCATCTTCCCTAATAATGTCTACAGCGTCTCCACGGACCGGAATCAGAGTTGCTACTTCAGGAGCATCGACATTGTACCATAATGCCAAGGTTTGTCCTGTTTGGGCAACCACTACATCACTCCCTAGCACCCATGAAGCGAAACTGACTCCAGTTAATAATAATATCCTTCCACCTAGTTCGTCACTCAGCCATAATCTAAGTAATAACAAAAATTAAAAATAATACTTTAGTCAAAATTTCTTTTTAAATTTTTATTTTCTCAATCGTCCTATATATTTCAGATTACTGACGCCATAATTATCGACAGTAGGGTTTATAATATCGACACTAGACACGGTGGTATCGCAAATAATGTCTACATTACCGACTTTAAAATTAATGTTGCGTAATTGTATTTTTTTGACGTGTTTCCTAATTTTTTAGAGATCTCTATAAATCGTAAATTTTATATATCACCTACTGACATAGAAAGAAGGCAAAGCTTTAGTAAAGTTGTAAATCAAAAACAGAGGATGTAGTAATTTGGGTATGAATTTTAATTTATGAGAAATGTAATATTTTGGTATCAAACCCAGAATTGTTTTCTATAAATATAAAAATTATTTTGTTACCTTGCCCTTTTATCCCTAGATAGCAGTCTATGGCCCGTTTCGCTTAGTTCCAACCAATCTACACGAACATCATAAGAAATCATTGCAACAGTGAGCCCTGTCGTTAGGTCCATTATACGAACAGTTCTGGGGTCCAATAAATAAGCAAGTCTTTTATTCTCTGGTGCCCCAGCAACTTGTCTTTCGTTAATTCTCACACTAACTACGTGGGGGTTGATCGCCTCTGTTCTCACCGATCCTAGCACATCGTTATTTCCATATTCAACAATAGTTAATTCTCCAGTACAGAAGATTAGGCATACTCTTGGGTACTCGAAGAAGAACTTTTCATTATTGCTCTTGTCGTCCCAAGGAATTTCACTGATAAGGTTCAATTCTATATCAGCAAGGAGTAAAGTGTTAGTTGTGCGAGCCACCACATTATTGTCAGCTCTTCCTAAGATTTTGACGTCCTCTATTTCGTAACCTGTCTGTGATCTGATAATTACTGGTCGATTACCCTCGTGTAATGGTCGAATGACCACTTGGCTGGGACCAACATAGGCTACTTCGTGACTGCCTTTGATTACTGTCCTTTTTAGCACAGTTTCAAATTGCTCTACAGCTCCACAGAGGCTGCCTACGAGTAATCTGAAACAACATAAATGTTCGAAGGTAGAAAAAGAACTTAAAAAAGTGTTCGATATTCGAGAAGTAAATTTAACAGTTACTAATTATTATGCAATCTAACCTGGAGCCATCGCGGCGCCAGCATATTGCTGTGACAGTGTAGAAATTAGGCAAATATCTAGTGTTAGCTTCCTCCCAAAGTGAACGCCGTGGACTCCAGTCCAAAATTCGTATTTTATCCCAGGAACCAATAGCTATACTCTGCCCACTAGGACTACAACAGGCTACTGCAATTTCTTTTTCATTTTCACGACTGTAGTCGAAAGTTTTTACTAGTTTTCCACGAAAATCATAAAATGTTACACGCCTGTCACATCCTGCAGCTAGGATATGAGATTGAGCCCAAGCTAACGCATATGCTGGTACAGTATGAGTACAGATACGTCCAGATGGTTCATGATTTCCATCGTCAGTCAAATAATACTTTATGATGCTACCGTCAGCGTGACTTGATAGAAAACCAGTTCCCCGTATACTGAAATTTTTAAGAAATCACGAGGTAGTAGAAAATAAACATTTTTTGTTCAATAAATATATGTTCGATCTTGCCTTATCGATTATAATGAAAATTTAGCAATGAAGATTTTATGCACTTGTTGACAGACGTCTGACAGGCACATTTTCAAAATTGCATTATTAAAAAGTAAAGCATAATTATCATAATTAAAGATAAGACATATTCATTAGACAAGGAATGCTCTTTTTGTCATATCTTATGGAATATTTTAATCCAATAGATCAATAGAAATGTAGGAAGAGAAACAGATACTTTGAAACTAGCGAGACTGTTGTTGAATCAGCAGTGTAAAGTGTCTGAGTCTTCTGAGACTTCACCAATGCCGCCCGAACCTTGCCATCTACTAAACCAACTATAATTGGTCCTTCGATCAACCATATTAGACAAGTAACCGCAGAACTTTGCCGAAACTTGTTGCAAATTACTTTCTTCTCTCCCCTATAAAGACATCATTATATTTAGAATACGTACACGATTTTCAAATTGAGTTTTTCAGATTTTTATTATTTACCATTGTTCTCCGATCTTGTAGACATAAATTATGCAATCACTTTGGCCAACTGCTATTTTTGTTGAATCTGGAGAGAAGGCTATATCCTTAATTACATAACTCTTCTTACCAAACTGAAAAAAATAAAATTAATGTTACAATAAATAATATTATCTTGAATTGTGTACTTATACTCTTTTCTTCAAATTTATCGTACGTACCTTCGCGTCAACAGGTTTCGTGGAAAATCTATCTCGTTTCACACAATTCTCGTCAAAAAGATATATAGAACGATCAGAAGAAGCAACAGCCAATTTTAAATTGTTCGGTGACCAGACTATACCCACCACTCGATTTTCATATTCCTATTTTGCATTTTATGAAGATCCATGTACATATATATATTCCAAATTAATTATTAAAACAATTATAAGCGATTGAGCCTTTGAGAATAAATTTAGAACGCCGAGAATATACTTACATGTGGTGGTATAACGTTGCCCAAATATTTGAGCAACATAATGGTCTATGATAATTCTCAACATCGACTTACTATAAAGAATTCTCAGAAAAGTTTTATTTCCGCAGTTGCGGTGCTTCAGGTCGGGCAATGAGAGTTCTATGTACAGTAGGAATGCATGAGTGATTTGTTTGTGTACACTTGCGTTGCTTGGCAACATTTTAGGGCTTATTCATCAATCGCGAAAGTCGAAAGAATTGATGAAGATTTTTGTTAAAATTGAAACATGTGGATTTGATATACTCTCTTATAAATTGAATAAATATTTACAATTGTGGAAGTATTTTAGTGTTTTTCATATTGTGCTATCAAGTACATAAAGTCTTAATTAGTATTTCAACTCAAATACTTTATTTAAACAAATAAGCACATTATTATAACAATAAAAAACATACTACTACTAACAATCTATTAATAATAAATAAATAGGTTTTCCTAACATCTATTTGGGTCAAAGCAATTGGTATGTTTGACCAATTTTGTTTGACAGTCCTACAAGAATAAAAACTTGAGGCCTTTTTCTAATACTTCTAAGCCACTAAGAATAATCTATACATTTAGTAAGTATTTAAATCCATTTATCACAAGTCATACAATATTAAATGAAGAATCATTTCAAAATAAGAACTGTTCAAAAGTAAAATTCTTTTTTTAGAATTAATACAAACCTTCGGTATTGAGCATTAATAAAAAATAATACCTTGCAATAAAATACATCCATTCGCGCAAATATCTAGTCGCTAAATTATAATAACGGAGTATCTTTACAAAGATTACATAACTAACATATTGATGAATTCAGTTTGCAAATTTTATGAGAGACGGCTAGAATTTTGAGACTTTAACCGGTTGATTCGATAATAAATGCATTCACGGTGAAATTTGCACCACTTCGGACATTGATGGTCAAGCTTGTTTAGGAGCTAATAATTAGACACTAAGATTTCCATCAAGTAACTCGTTTTTGAGCTGTTGAACTTGCACTGTCACAGAATTCTCGAAGGAGCCACTCGATACCAATCGAACAGAAGTGACGCCGTACTCCACTATCTCGCGATAATCTGGAAAATTAGAAACAATTATAACAAACAAACTTAATCAAAGTTCAGTAATAAATAGATTAGGATCGATATATTGAGTTAAATGTATCTAGTTGGTTTCTGTATGGGTCGACACAAAGCTATTTTCTGATTGAAATCGATACAGCGTTCAAAATCATATTACCTGGTTTAGAGTCTATTCCGCAAATAGAATCAACTATCTGAACTTTAGATGTGTCCAAACCATAGCTGCCTCCAATTATTACTTGATCTTGAGGACTGGTCTCATCGCACTAGAAGTCAAATCTTACCATTATTAATTACAAATAACTATATAAACTAAAAATAATTAAAAATGGAAAAAATATAAGTTGCAACTATAGTAGGTTCTCTACACTTACTATACTTAATAAGATATGAATATTAATTGTAGTAATTGTATTTACTGTATATTTATTATGATCACTATATCTCGTTTAATTATAATTAACATGACTTTTATAATTACTACTAATACTGTGATTATTGCAATTACCACGTCGACTGACTAAAAGGACTGAAATTATTACACGATTTTAATTTTTTTATTTTCAACGATTATTAATTAGTAATCTTTAAAGTTGGCATTAATCTTTGCCTATTGTCAGCAGAAAAGTAAATTGAAAACGGGAACTTAGAGATAGTTAAATTAATATTGTAGAAGATTACAAATTACAAACCTTTCGCAAAGTACCGGTTTCAGAGGTGCGAACAGAACCGAGAAAATTCGAAACCCCTACGCCCAGTGCGATCACTCGTACGGTGCTCGGATAAAGCGCGACGTAGGTGCAATTTATACGTCGTCCGTAATTGCGTAGCGTGTATGGCTCGCTTATACTCACTGCCAAAACGTTGCAGGCTATAAAATCAACAAAAAGTATTTCTTTTTTGTTCATTCTATAGTATCCACTTTTTCTATTAAGATGAAGATATACAATGAATAATTAGAAAATGGTTATGTAATAACAAAATATTTTAACGTGTAATAAGAATATCATTTTTATAATTAAAAAATAAGTACAACTATCAAATTTTCAAAAAAATAAATAATCAGAAATTAATAAAACGGAATAATTAATAATAATTAATAAATACTTAAAAATTAATAAATAAAAATATCAACAAATTTTTGGATATCTATTTCACTCACGTCTAGGATTTTTCACGAATTTCACGAACAACGTAAATCCTTTTCCGGGTATTGGGATCCTGTACCGGACAACTGCGACGTTCTGTGAACTCGTAAAGGTTCTTTTCACACCAATATTTTTACCGCAGAATTCGCTGCTCCTCTGCTTGAATGGCAATCGATGGTCTATTTCACTTGGGAACACTTCGCCGTTTAATTCCCAGCCATCAACAACCTGTATGATATAAAAATACATTCTGAATAGCCCGTTATCACATCACAATGTTGAGTTTCTTTTATAATCCATTGGAAAACATGTCTATCGAAATGGGTCCACGTATACACGCTTTCTATGTTCGAAAAGTAGGTTCAGATTATCGGGAAAAAGCCATCTAGTACAACAGCCTCCGTGATGTACATAACTGTGCTTCATACATATAATATGTATTAAACCCTATTAAATATTAGCATTACTTATCATTTATCATAAATTATGTATATTAAATAATATTACTACATAATCTATCACATAACATTTTTAATTACATATGTTATTAAAAAGTAGGGAAATATTCTGTTACACTTTAGCAACTTATGCATAGCGATCATGAGAATTCCACGATCTTGATTTATATTTTTCTCACCGAAACTAATCCATGGTGTTCACAGGGTACATCGAAAGTGATAAAGTTGATTTCTACTTTCTGATCTGGTCCAGCTAGGAAATAAATTCCACAAACCTCCTCGTCATCTGTTTTTGAGGTGTATATAAAAGATCCTGGTTCTGACGTAACAAACATGCAGTCTATAAAAAAATGAAATAAACTTTGATATAAGAAAGAAACGGGATTGAAATGGAAAAGCTTTCTCCATTTCCAGTATTTTTAGGGATTTTTATAGAATGAAAGAGGAACTAAAATAAAATTATAATTCAATAAATACCGCACTTGATGAATGCAAAATCAAATGTATACCTGTGACAGGTTTGAAACGTGTGTAAGAAATTAATAAACCATTCTTCGAGTCTGGTCGATAAAAGTCCTTTGAAAAATGGTCTGCAGGAATCTGTAAAAAGTAACAATCACCTTTTAGAAAAATTTTATAACATTTCTTTTCATACGCTTCTTTAAACAATATGTAACTATAGAAATTGCATCGTCCATTCCTTTATTCTGTTTCATATCTTTCTGTCAGAATCAAGTACAAAAATTCAATGGCCACGAAAATCGATTTTATTCAACGTAACAAACAATAAGAACGATTGAATGGACAATCTTTGTTTTGATATGATTGATATTAAATACAAATTTTAAAATAACGATTTTTAATTTAATTTTTTTTTTTTTAATTTCGAAATGTGTTTCTTTAATTATATTAATTTAATATTTTAACAATTCAATCTTGTGTTACATGTTTTTATTTATCAACTGCTATCAGTAAGCAAAATTAATATTAATATTTACTCAACTACTAGCCCATTCCACTTATTTTGATTACACAGGATTAAAAGCTATTGGATCAATTGCAAAAGGTATGTAATCGTAAGCTATTGTGAAAACTGCAAATTAACCGATTGAAATACGCTCGTGTAAAGCTGAGAGTAAATGTAGAAATTGAATTATTATCAACGTAGAATAATCTGTCTTTTTATTAAATAATTTATTACCCAGATCTCGTTCCATTTAGCAATAACTCATTGAATATCTTGTATTGTTGTTTTTATTATTTTATATTGTCCAAGAAATGATTGAAATATGTCATATAGAATTTTTTAAAAATTGGAACAACATAGAATTTCCTAATCAGTTAATTTAAAAAAAAATAAGAATCTTTTATGTTCTTATTTTCAATTAAAGTTCGTGTTACAAATTAAGTTATTTAAATAAAAAAAGTAGATAATAATACTGATAATATTTCTACATAAAAATTAGCTATTACATGAATTTTAATGAATAAGACTTCAATTATCCTTCAACAGGTTACCATAATACCACAGGAACATAAAGGAGAGCCTCATACAAAAGAGAAAGTTTTCTCACAAAAAAATTAATCTTTGTTCCTTAATGAATGAAATGTCAATGAGAAACATCTCCCTAACAATATTCCTTTTGAAAATTATTCTCCTGACGTTGAAATTTATATATAATATGCTGAAAAAGAACATTCACAACCAGTCGATGAATAAGTAATATTTGAAAAAGCCTAGGGGAAAATCTATTCCGTCACTTGGTGGAAATATCTACATCAACAGACGGATATTACAGCGTGATTGTCATCGGTTGCGACAATTACTATTGTTACTAGTTATCGACATCTTTAGGAAGATATAAAAAATACTAAAAAATTTTATTAAATTAAAAGTTTTTACTGGTACTAAAAAATATTCACAAAAATGTAATTTAATCTTTTTTTTTAAATTTAGTTAATAATGTAAAAATTGTTTCTAATCAATTTGAAGACTTTCTAAGAGAAGTTATGCAAAATCAAAGTGTAGAAATGATTTTTTAGTACAAAGAATATAAGAAATGCGAGGTCATAGGAAGAAAAGCGAAATTACTTTTCCTCGGTGACAATTTGTCGGTCTGCGATGAATTGCAAGGAATGGAGTCTCGACTAACGGAAACATTAATGGATAGAGGGAATTATATTCCTTGAGGGACTGTTTCATGATTACTTCACCGTGGCGTAGTCGGCAATCGGATAAAATTCATTGACTCGCCGGAAACCAATAACAAAGAAACTTGCAGTGTTTGAACAAACGTGTTGTAATCCCAATATCTTTTGGCACAAAACCCGCGTAAGTATATCTGGAAATGTATATACACGTAAGCATACGTAGAAAAAGAGAAGAAAAATCTACAATATTAAAAAATATTATAATATTACAATACACAATATTCTAAATTATTTCTTAATTAAATATAGCAACAAAATTTTTTTTACCTTTTTTACAGGGAAAGATTGTTCATGGTTTATTAAATGAGGTACCAAATTTTGTTTGGACGTTCATTATTAATGGAAAAAGTGAAACCTGGTAAACGAGAAATGTGGTTGATAGTTGTGTAATCTATTTAGTCTCCATCAATATTTCGTTAAAAGTATTTTCTATATATTGGATTTAATATCATGATATTGGTATTAACGTCAAAAACTTTAAAAAGACATCTACATATTTTAAATAATTATTATTTAAATTTTAGTCCGTATTTTTTAATACTATAATTTTGCACGGAATATGTATCTTCCTATTTTTAAATAGAATATTTTGTGACAAAGATGTCGGTTTGAATTAGGTCTCACTTATCTTTGTGTTTCATTTGTAAATGGTGAGAACAAAAGGTATGTCAAGTGACTCGCATAATGTAAACGTTCAAGTATTTAAGGTTGGATGTTACGAGAAGAAATGAACTCTATGACATCCATAATATTCCAGAGCTACGATAAACCCATCGAATGGAGGTTATTTTACCACGATCCTTGAAAAGAGTAGACAAGTTAATTTCCTTTTTGTTTCAAACGTCTAACAATTTCGAAATTTTCGATTCTAAATCGACACTCAAATACTTTGAATAAAGATATCACTCAATACTAGCTTCTGGCTTTTCAAATCCATATTCGTCCAAACTTCTATGAAATCCTAAACCGTGAGTTTATTCATCGTATTATCTATCTAGAATTCTAAGTAATTTAAAAACCATTTCTATTTAAAGATATTTCACCATGCTTCTATATTTGAGAACTTTATTGTATCTTAAAGTTTCTGTTGTATCGTTTTTGTAATTCTCTTTATTGCTTGTATTTATAGTACTCCTACTATATATCTTTTATTATTAGTTTTTAAAATTTTTATAGTTTTTATTATTAAACTACATTTATTACTGTTTCTCCACTTTGTCATTTCTTTTTACTGCTGTATTCCTTTTTCTAGTATTTATTGCTGCAATTACTTTTTAGGAGTCCCTACACAGCTCTTTTTTGTTACTGCATCTCTTTCCTTGATATAGTACACTACTTTTTATTGAAATTCTTTTGCTGCTTTCCAACTTCTTTATTTTTTGTAAAGTTAAGTATTTCTCTGTATCCTTCGTTTTGAATTCCTTCCTTTTTTGAAAAGAAGTGGAAAGTGGAAAATTTTTCCCACCTTAAAAAAATATTGTCAAAACGTAATTTGTTGGGTAATACATCATTCTCCTCTGTACTTATTCGGCTACAATCATCAGGAAGTCACTAAAAATGATTTTAAAGAGACAGTCACCATTGACATGTATAAGGATTGAAGATGTTACAATAATTAAAATTCCTCATAAAAAATACGTGTTTATCTATCTTTTTATGAACTTTAATGATTACTTAACTTGGAAGATCAACTTAGTTGCTGGCAAGTGCTCCATGATACCTTCTCGCTCGAGCCAATTATTCTTTGACAAGGTATAGTAAGTGGAAGGAATATTGTGAGGTTATAAATTAAACCATTAAACAGCGATACCGATTGGACTAGCAGCAACTACGCGCCTGCACGTAGGCAACATTCTTTGTGAAATGTTATATAAAATTAATATTTATAATATTTTATAATACACGGCATTAATTTCTTTTGTCAGATAGACATTACTACGTTGAAAAAAAATTAATCTACGATTATTAAGAATTAAGACTCAGTTTTTTTCGTAAATTAAATTACTTTTTATAGTAAATTAAATATTTATAGTTGTTAAAAATAGTCTATGAGACTTGTAAAATAAATCGGATGTAATACTTTTTCGAAATTAATTTCTATTATTTTTAGCAGTTTAATAATGTTTATTAAAATCGGATGTTCTAAAATAAAAGTTAAAAATGAAGTGTAATCGTTTGAAAACCAATAAATTAGAACAAAGATGAAAGTTCAATATTAGAATAAAACAAATTGTCAATTTTATTCTTTTACCAGTATAAAGGTCTCCAAGAATTATTTCTGAATTTTTGTCGCACGGGCCTGGCTCTTCATTTTCTCTTCAATCTGCCCAAATTTTTATTTTTGTACTCAAAAAGAGGGTACTTCCAAACTCACTGATTTTATAACATATCCATCCATATGCATTTATAGTAGTACAATTCTTATTAATTTAGACGCTATATCAGCTAATCTTCTTAACATTAAAAAACAGTTAATAAATTAATATAATTAATAAATAAATCATAATAGGCAATAATAAATAATTAATAAATCAATGAAGATTAATTAGATTATAAAATCTGATGGGTATCCGTGTATCAATTGCTTTATACATATATCTACTTCACAGTTCGATTTATCGCTCATAAGACACTTTCGTTTACTATAAATCAAATATAATAGTACATTTCGAAAGTATTAATTGAAATTGAGTAATTAATATTTTTGCTCAAATAGTGGAAAATACGATAATATTTGACTGTTAAGAATATGAAGCATTTAAAGAAAAAATTAACCTCTATTTGAATAGATATACGAAATTTTATATTCGTAAATATAAAATATGTCGTTTGTATAATAAAGAATAATGTCAAGAAAGTTGCTACTTTTCAACAATATTTCCATATTTGAACTCCTCAAACCATGTTCTCGATCTTCAAATCAGATACAGCATACTTCAGAGAAGTGTTTAACATAATGCACCATTGATCCTTTCGATTTTCGATACTCGAATGCATACGTAACCTGAAGAGCTCAATGACATAACCTTAAGCTGATTTTTCTACTTTGTGTCAACGTTTTGTTATGGAAGTAGTATTATGCAATCGAAAATCGACAATCGATATTCATGATGTTTTGATATTCGAAATTTTGTAAATTGGTGTAATAAAATATAAACACATTATTTATTTACGTAGTTTATCGATTTATCGTATTGGAAACGATTTTCCATAAAAGAGGGATACACGCATAGCACGACGAAGTATGATACGTTGTTTCGGTATGTCATAATCGTTTTCAAATTTCGAAATACGACTTAGTTACAATTGTTACGCGTTAACCAGTTGCGTTGCTGGCAATTTACGATCGAGGAGCACATACTCGAGATACAAACAGCGGAACAGCCGCGACAAATATTTGTAGTGACACGGATTTACCTTGCAACGATTATTCCACGATGAACGAACTTCTTCCATCGGTAAATTGTACGAAATACATTTAAAAGTATCTTTCTTTCCATTTTCTATGTGTGTATAAAATATATGTGTATATACCATACAGAATTAATGCGTATGATACGTATATAAACACGTGCGCATATACTCGCGCATGTCGTCTATTGATAGTTTCAATAATCGAAATATATAATCGATACAATTTTAATCGTTTGAATATTACATCGAAAGTTAGTTGATTAAACATAAAATTATTTTCGGTTTCAAAAATTAGTTCCAATATAATTCTTTCAAACATTAAGGTTAGTATTTCGTTTATAATACATTTTCTGAGGTCTTTTTAATTATATTCTCCTGTAAATGGAGCCACTTCACCCTGTTTTATTCTGTTTAGCAGGATTCTTACAATTTTTCTATTTTGCTTTCACCTATTTTTTTTATTTTCCCACATTTATTTGTAGATCATTATCCACGAGATATTAAAGGAAGAGCAAATTAAAACGTTTCTTCTTTTCTTGTTTGACGATCACAAGGGAAATTGTTTGAACACTCTATAAACTCGTTAGCTTGCCTGCGGTAGTTGGAACTCCCAAGTACGTTGCAACTCACTTTTTTGCCAGTTACCTGAGCACGTTAAATTGCATTTACACTGACAACAAGCAATTGTACTTTGCAGGTCGCTGGAGTTGTCTCCGATAAGCTTTCAAAACGTACAGGAGATCACGAAATGTTCGTATTGAAATCTCCATTACCCAGAAAAATACTTGTGTAAACAAAAAGTGAACGATACGAAGTAAACGTCGATGTCAATCGATGATCAATAAAATTATGTAGGTTAAAGTAGGTACAAGGGAAGATATTACTAAGCAAACTACTAAAACCAAATATACGTATTGCATCACAGGATAATTCAATAAAAAGAATTAGAAATTAGAAATAAAGGAAATTTAGTATAGTCGATGTAATTCTTCAATCGAATATGTAATTTTCTTATTATAAGACATTAAATTTAATATAAGTTAAAGTGCAATTTAGAGTGTATGAAATGCTTAAAATAACATAGAAATTTCGAGTAAATAATTTTTATATTTTTATGCTAGAAATATAAAAAGTTTTAAACAATTTAATGACAATCTAATTTAGCTACTGCTCAAAATTAGGGTGAAATATAAGTGGTGCTAAAGATACATCTGTTAGGTAATATGCTTTTTTATATAAAACATTGTATAAGTATTAAACAGTAAAAGTACCATAATTTGTATAATTTGTATAAACATATCTTTTATTAACACTGTTCAAATCATACCAACGTACTTTTTAATCTATAATTTAAAAGCCATATAGTTTAAGCAAACCGGAAATTTGTTTAATGTAGTTAATAAATTTTAATATGAACACTATTCAAAATACTGAATATCTTATCGAGTAATAATACAGTCATCGGTAAATCTTCTACGCAGATGGTTCTTTAAACAACAGAAAAATACTCGATCTTATCATTCTTACGTTCCAGGTTTACCCCGGAAGCAAGAGACACAATACGTTCCGTCCTATTCGGTTACGAAACAAGTTACGATATGACGAACAGATATTCGATATTCCCCAGTGATTCGTCACAGAATTTCATTAAATCCCCCGGAACAACGGTACGTATACTTCCTCGTTAATCAGATTACTGGTCCCCGTCCGTTTCATACTACAGAACAAAGTGAAATGAAATTGTCTTCTAAGATCAATGTGTAACGTTGATTCTATGGTCTTTGCTGACACTCTAAGGATGTCCAGTATGAAGCATGAGCTTTTTGTCCCGCGATGAATATCAAATGAAACAACACTCGTAGTTGATACAGAAACTTTAATTAAAAACCCCCTTCAAATTTAACATTTCTCATCTTCGTGTTCAGGTTAACTTCAGTCTACTGACTTGTCTGGACTTCTATAGAAGCTCAAAGTAAAGATCGTTACTACTAGTTACTAACAACTGCTATTTCATTATTCTGTAGCATTAAATTTGCAGATTATTCTACTGGATAACTATTTTATGTTACCTTTTAATTATTATAATTTTCAACTGTAGACCTTTAAAATTGCTACACTTTAATGCAAAATCATTTAAAACACTTAAAATTACTACGCTACAATTATTTTTTAATTTTTTAATTTATTCATTTCCTTCTTAACTTATCTAGGAGCGGGTGACAAATTAAATAATTGATTTTTAATTGCTAATTATCTTTTAGAAAAATATGGATGAAAATTTATTCTTTTGAAGAGATAATGTTGCAGCCATCTTCTAAATAGAAGATTTACCTTTAGTTTTAATTAAAATGACGGGAAACGGTATTCAAAGGCTCAACGAAGGGGAGGAAGGACTACCGAGGCCTTACATGTTGCGTTTACTTTGTAGTACTCATGCAACTAATTACCATGAGGAAGGGAAGGAAATGTAAGCATCATCGCTCGGCTAATGATCGATCTAAACTTCGTTATTGTTATTCTTTTAGGAATTTGTGTGAGCAATACAAAATCGATTTAAGGACACTTGAATACGATTACCTTGATTTGAAAGAAAATAGGTAGATGAATTAAAATGAAATTAATTAAGTAGTGCAAATATTAAAAGCATAAAAATATAAAAATGGCATTATTCATTCAGGTATAATTCGTCTGTTTTATATTTTATTTTTGAAATATAACGGAAATACAATTACTGTATCCAGATATTTTTACCTTATTGAGATAAATTATTCCCAAGCTTTTATTTTATACCCAACAACTATATAAATTATTAAACTTTGCAAAAAAGAACCGTATTTTGTAAATACGAATAAATATAATAATAATACAAAAATTGATTAAAGAATTGTTGCAAAAATTATATTAAAAAATAATTTTACTTAGCTACAAAACAGTTCATGTTAAATACAATTTTAATACACACAGGTAAATTTGTACGATGTAATCGTTTTATTAAAATCTAATACTCTGTATTAACTTCATTAAATTCTATATTAACTATCAAATTAAATTATGTTAAACGTCTATATTAATTCTGTTTTCATAAAAAAAAAGAAATTGGTCACAATATCTCTCACAAAACGTATTACAAAACATAGTAGTCTATCCAAACTCACCTCCCAACCATCACACAGCATTCCAAACAACTATGATAACCCTTACCTGTTGCTGATAGTGTTGATAATCAGTGTTTCCTTTTATTACAGCGGAAACAACATTGAAAATTCCAACGATGAGAAACAATCTCGCCAAACAACATAGAGATCCATTCAGGAACATTTTTCTTCTGGTAAGAATCAAGGAACCGAATGCAATCGTAGTTGAAAGTATAAAGGACTATCTGAAGATTTCTTCCTATCTCCTTTTTATCACTGCTTTCTATTAGGACGTGGGGGAAAACGCGTGGAGCTGGCGTCAGAACAAACTGGAGATTGTATGGCGTCGCGACGCGCGGCGTCCCTCTTATAGTCGCAAGTCCAGCCCGCGATTCGTCCACGCTGCGCATCCCCGAACGCTTGCAACGTAACTGGTGATGATAACGCTGATAAAACGGTCTACGTTCATTTGCATGCTTTTTCCCGGTAAGTCAAGGACCTTTTAAGATCGGTGGAGGAGGATGGAGGATAGAAAAGACTGGTAAATTTATCTGGGATAAGGAAAACATAATGGAAAAAGAAAAGACATTTGAAAAACGGAATTTTAGAGCTTAAAATAGGATAGAAAAATATAAAGAATTGAAAAGAAATGAGTCTAAATATAGTTTTGAAAATTCTTGTCCACAAATTCACTGCAAAGAATTGTTAGGTAATTACTATGTATGGTAATTAATTTCTGGAATCATTGAATTTAAAATTTTTCTATTCTAAATAAGGCAAAGTTAGTTAAATGAAATGTTTTTATCAAAAAGTAAACAATTTTTTTTAATTGAAACAGAAACAATTTAGAATGTTTAATTAATTATTATAATTGTGAGATTGTCGTTATAAATATTAGAACTGAAGAAATAACTTTAAATAAAAATAAAATTTAAGGTGATTAATGGAATTATCTTAAAATCAGATTCCAGTAATTAATAAAAATTCTTCAAATTAATTTCGTGAAAATAATACTAAAGACTTCCCAAATTTCTTTATTTTTCTTCTGTACTATTTTGTCAGCGAAAGTTCACTGAACTTAATAAAATACACTTTCATTGTAACACGACAATTATAACAAAAGCATATCTCTGGTTATAAAAATTTTAAATGCAAATCAAAAGGAACGTCGCCTACTTCATAATCCCCCTAGCAAAGTGGTGAAAAGGAAACTTTCATGTAAACCTTTTTCTATTCTTTTACTAATAGATGACTTTCCTTTTTTTATTAAAATACTTGTTAATATTAGAAAATGATATATATGATACTGAAACATAGATAGGATTTTTCACTTAAACTTGATATTATTTCCATTCACTAAAATTATCTTTGAAGAAGACATAAATACAATTGAAATGTTAAAATAAATTCATCTTATTTAATTACTAATTTTTTAATTTTTTTTTAACTATTACAAAGAAAAATCAATTTTTAAGTTTTATTACAATCTATGGATCATAGCAAATAACTAGGTCTATTTTTATTCATGCGGGAATAACTTTAATAACTATTACTTCAATATATTAAATTCTCTGCAATATCTTTTTAATACTTGTTGTTAATATAAAATACCGTTTTCATAATTTATATTTTTAATAATTAGCAATAAATATACCTTATCTATATCTTATATGATCAATGTATGACTGGTTGCTTATAACTGCTGAATATCTAAATCTTCTTCACTATTAGAGTACGAATTGCTATCTCACATATGCTTATTAGAAAAACAATATTTGTTGTCACCCTCCATCAACCTCTATTTAAGTAACTTATACTTATGAAACATTCTGTAAACTAGAACACTATAGACGAATTAATTCAATGTTTCTCCACTTCTCTAAAGAAGAAAGAAAATTGTTCAATGCGTAATAAGTGAGCTGCAATAGACATTGGCCTCCTGCAGGAAAAGAACAACAATCTTCTAATATCGCCAACTGTGAGAAAGATGAATATATGTCGAATGTACAATATGGTAGCCTACGTTTCATCCCCCTCGGAACTAAGATCAATTAAGACCACTGGCCGCGATATTTATCCGAAACGGTAATTGCCATAAGCTGTATTAACGATTGCGAGTTGACTATTTTTGGAACAAATACTAATCTTCCAATTAGCTATGTTTATTTCTCTGTCTTGAATATTCATTTTGAAAATTCATATATTCTTTAACAAATATTTTTTGTAAATATTACTATCCAAGTTATAATAAAATATTATTTCTCAAAATTAAATGTTTTTCTCAAAGTTTTATATTATGTTTTAGGTTTTAAAGAATTCGAAGTTCTAAAATGTTTTTGAAAGCCCCAATTACATTTTAAACTCTGAGTTATTTTTTCAAACCTGCGGATTCTAGTAGTACCAATAAAGGAACATCTTATACTAACAACGCTAAGAATGCTGAATGAAGGAGAGTAATAAATATTTTAATCGAACATGAATAAGAATGCGATGTATTTACGAAAGTATCGATTATACGAACCGTTCTGGCCGTTTTATAGGAATAGATTTGATGCGTTCAATGGAAAGCTGAATTATTCACTGGGACGCTTCTGAATTTTATTAAATCACGTCCGCGAGATTTACGACCACGACTCCCTCAGGGAACCACGACTGTTTGATCACGTAAAACGTTTCTTAGTGTCTACCTCTTAATACCGCTAATATTAACAAGAACACTATAAGCTGTCAATTTAATAAACAAAAAAATATTATTCAGTAATAATTTATTAATTACAATAATTATTTTTTCATATTTAATATGAGAAATAATGATAATTTTTAATCTTGAGTAAGAGAAATAATAAATATTTACTGATTTTAAACAACAGAAATAATCTTTTTTATTACTATGTAAAGTAGTAATCAGTGTATATTATGTGAAACATCTTTTCAAAAAAATTATTATAATTAAGTTTTTGATTTTCTTTTATAGAGTTTCCACGTATGTTCTTCACCGTTTTCTCCTCTTTTACAACCACCCGATAATACACAAAAGGACTCCCAAAGTAATACTCGATAGCCCTAAGATCGCTATTTAAAAAAGAAAATTATACAGGTAATTTCTATATCTTGAAATAAATATTATAATTAACTCTACTTAATCAAAAATTATTTCCACTGAATTTACATATGCTTCATTAATTATTTAGCAAAAAGAGAATAAATATGATTTTTTAATAATAATTTTAATTAAAATTATCCACGTTTCCTAAAATTAATTAAATTTATTTAAAAAAATTGTTTATACCATACCGAAATCTTTTATTAAAAAATATTACCATATTTTACTCGTATTTACTTTAATCGTATAAATTCTACTTAGTTTATTTAAAACAGAATAAAATTAATTTCCTTTTCATAAAATAGTTAACTTACTAACAAATAAATAAATGTACTTTTCATTCCGTTTAAAAATAATTAAATTCGTAAAAAGAAATTATTTTTCATAATTAAAAATTTGTTTATTAAAAACATATTATACTTTGGTTCAAAATTCAAATTCTGATTTTTAGATATACTTCTATCACTTAAATCATGGATGCGATGTGACGGCTGTTTGACCACGGCTAAGAACAATCTACTAACATTCTTCTGACATGCATAAAAAGCAACATATGAGAATATATTTGATAAAGTTGAACTTCTCCAAGTATTAGCAATAATATTATTCGAAGTCTTTACTCAAGTATCATGCAAAAAAAAGTCATTGTAAGTCACACTCAAACTACGATTATTAAAATTATTTCATTTTAAATGGGACACTAAATTCCTTAGAATTTTGTACATTATGTTAACTTAGATTTTCAAATAATTCTAAACTTATATCGTTTAAGTTGTATAAAGAAATATCATGGGAAGAAAACTTTATGGAATATCTTCCTGCAATATATTATATTTAAATTATTGTAGCATATTTTACCATAAACCTAGTTCTTATAAATTATACTTATTTTTAATGATAAACAAAAGTTCGCACATAGTATGTATTCCATGAAAAAAGAAAGAAAATTCGAGGAATTTACTTTACTGTTCTAGCAATGTTGTTTAACGCACCAAACAGAGCATTTACTGTTTTCGTATTTCCTCCTGTGTAAATTCGTTCATCTTTCCCGTAAACATTTAAAACACAAAAATTTCTTAACTGTCGCAATTTACTTTTACAACTATATTTATATGATATAAATTTCAGAAAATTAATCTCATAAAAAATATATTTTTTTTAGCAATTCTTTTTGATCATTTGTTATAAATAAATTAATGCTTAATTTTCTTTAATACAACGTATGAATAATCAGGATAACCTCTCTTTGAGTAATTAATTTTCAACATACTATATTCGAATATAATTAAAATTCATTATGAGCCTTCAAAATCACCTTGATAAATGACAGAAAATAATCTCTTCAATTACTACACACATAAAATTTTCACCATGTATAAAGGGAATTTATCGTATTCAGTAATCGACATACGGATATTTCGTCATTCACAAATAAGAATTAATAAAAAGCCTAAGGGCCCTTAGCATAGGAAGAGTTAAGGACGAATGTGTGGTGGAAAAGGTAAATCTAAATGTGGGGGCGGCTCTATATGGCTTCTTTCATGCCAGCCCTCTGCTACAGGAGTGTGATACAGTCCATAGTTAACGCCGTTTGTCGCTATTTTCTTCAGGCCCTGAATACTGGACAAAATCAAGGCCATTTTTGCTAAAAGTAACGCCTTGCCACCGAGGACAGCAAGAAATTGAAAACCCATGGGTATCAATATGGAACCCATCAACAAGAAACCCATCATCATCAACGGTACCATGTGATTATGTCTGTGACGGTGGCGACGCCTGCGGCCTGATAACCATAATGGGATACTTGATGTAATACATGGTTCCTTAATGTTCTTCAACAGCATATTAATCTTCTTTTTAAAGGAAATATATGATCAAAACGATATAATTTAAAAATAGAATTCTAGGGATGAAAATGTCTCTTCAGCCAGAGATCATTAAATGTCACACAATGAACTTTGAATAGCTTTAAATAAGAACAAATTAATGTGAAGTGCAATTACTTTTTAGAGTTAAAATATTTTTCAAATATCAAAGAACAAAGTAAAAATTATATAAAAACAAACCTTCAAACTTATTACTATCTATATCCGTTTCTGTATTATTAACAAAGGAAATAATATTATTGGTTAAGTGGTCCACATCGACTTTAAAGACGTGAGTGCGTAGAACTCGTAAAAGTCGCTTCACAATTATGGTTGTCCAATTAATATCATTTCCTAAATCACTGGAACAAACAAAAAAGATAATCATGCGTCTTTACCACAGTTCTTTTTATTTTTTAAAAGAACTTATCGTGAAACCATTAATTTCAATATTCTTGAATTTTCACCTTTATTATTATTACAGTTTACAGATTCCTTTCAAGACATAAAATTTGTGACGAACTATTTATCTAAAGGAGTTCAAGAAATAAACAGAATCAATTTTGATACAAGTTGGATAATAGGACATTAAGTTAATCTCAAAGGAAACTGCAAAAAATCTATTAAATACGAGTTTCCTGTCACGAGAGATTGCGTGACTTGAAATTTGTTCGCGAAAAATATTCTAGTGCTCCATTAAAGATCCGATATTTTTCCAGTCCGCAGGAAATAAGGGGAGACAAAATCACAGCTGCTTTGTATCACCATACACATTCTTACGAAGCTATTGTGACTAAGAAACAACAATATAAGGCAAGGAAATCGTAAATGCAAATCGTATAATAATTTTAAATAAGCAAGTAGGTAACACTTCAAAAATTTTATTTATTTATTTTACATATTGATTATTTTCATATCGTTTTTGTCCAGTTTTTAAACAATTTTAATTTTTTACTGCATTATAAGTATTATGCTGCATTATAAGGAACAGAAATTATGTTAAACATTTATAGTTTACAGATATATATTTCATAAAATTGTTGGAGGGACTTCTGGGACTTCTTTGTACATTTACTTTAATATTGACACAACTATTAAACAACGGAAATCGAAAATAAACTTTTCGACAGAATTGACGTAATAAAATAAAATTTCTTATTATGATATAATGATAGTTTTGTATTAATAAGGTTAAGAATTTTTGATTGAACATTTAAATAAAAATAATTTTTTAAATTATATTTTACAATAAGTAAAATAAGTTTTATAGAAATTACAAAATTTAAATATTTTTTTATAATATTATTTATGCAATTTAGAAAACTACTTCAAATAAGAGGAATATTTCCCATTACAATCTCTCTATGAAAAAGACACTTAAGTTAATTGCAGATAAATGTAACATCATATTAACTAGAACGACGCCTTGGAAGAAAGGAACAATATCTCATAAAATGATCAATAATAAGAAGTTAACTTTCATTCACTTTTCCGAGTCGAGAAGTTTCAAAGTAGAACGTAGAGCTTCCACGGCAACTTTTACGTCCTTTAACTTTTCAAAACCTGTCGAACTTCCTTGAACATCTCGAAGTATTTTTCTGAAGATTTTGATATATTCAAAACCAGTCCAACGAACGTAGGTTTCTCTTTATCAAATTCTCTATGACTCTGATATAGGTTTTTCAGTTTTTATTCACTATTTCTCACATACGTATACCTCTATAAAACTTATTATAGTATGAAAATATTATGAAATACACTTTTAAATTATACATTGCAAATTACTTTAATTTAAGAATTCTTTCGCTTTTAATTTCAAACTATTTAAAATAAGTTTTTTACTTTACCTTTCTATATTATTATCCGTTGAATTTACCCTGGCGTCATGGAATCTTATTAAATCCAGCCCTTCAAATATTGGTATAACATCATCAGCCAAAAGAGAATCCAATGCAGCCAGTACACGCTCTTGCACACACTTCCGGAACTTCTCTAAAAATTCATCTTGTCCAGAGTTGTTCCAGGACTCCAATGGACAATTCTTAAGCACAGAACGTAGGCCAGTATACCAATTCGTGTTGTCAACACATCCAGCGTCACCGGCCACGAGGGTGACAAATACGGACACGTAAAATGCACGTAAGTGCATCTGCATTCAAGGGAACAGCCACGAACTTTAATAATGAGTCATAATAACTTGCAATGCAATAAAACATAAGGGTTTGGCTGAAACTCCGAAGCTTTATCTCAACTGATATTATCATCGATTTAGTTTCAAAAGCGATAAAAACAATTTCTGAATAGGTAATTTATAGTTGCTTTAAATTCCTTGACATTTTGCTTTTTACTTCGAGGTTGCTGTAGCAACTTTGTATTGTTATGTTGTTTAATGATGATGTATTTGCAATATCCAATCTTTAAGTTTACTTAATTTATTTTGAATATAGTATTTACTTAATAGTATTAAAATTACCTAACTGAATCGAAGTAAAATTTACTACTTTTGTATGTTCATTTTTAAAAAATAATTATTTTATTTCATTTATATTTATCTACTGAAATAATTTGAAGTATCAGATTTATTTTATTATTAAAATTGAAATTTATAATATATTATCCCAACAATACTATATTTCTTCATCTTAAAGAATTATTACTCGAAATCTCAAAAATTAAGTTTTTCTTAATCATTCTGTCACAACTTTTTACACCTTTATATAATACATACAGCTTCAGCCTCCCTCGCAATCTAATTTTTTTCTGTTCACTAGTAAACGTTACCTCGAAAAGTGAGCGCACCACTGGAGATACGTTCTCTAAAATCGATCCCGATTCACTGTAAACGTTCGATCGTAGCTATATGAAGATTTATACGCACAGGAAATAGGCTACAATGCCGACCAACTGGTTATTACGATTCATCGAAGGGCAACAAGGCAACGGTCAAAAGGCGGCACTTTTTATGCTCCAGCAACCCTGGTCTGTAATCATCAACAAAATCTCCAGAGTTGCATGACTGGTACTCAGCCCATGAATTGTTCTTTGAACTGATCAGTAACATTGTGGTGGTTAAATAAATGAAATCTATAAACATAAAATATTGAAAATGATAATATGGTAAATATAATAAAACTAGAATTTAAATATATGAACATGTAACAACTGATCATTTTAAATAGTAAAATTATCTTATTATTCGTTAGAAGATATTATGAATAGTATCCTGCAGAATCAACAAAGAAGTGAAAAACAAAAGCTCTTGTCTTCTAAAATATCAAATTTGTAACAAATGATTGTATGAGGGTATTTAAAAAAATATTCATATCGTAAGTTAGTTAATAAATGTGAAATATTAATTATTAAACATTATACCAATGACTACAATATTCTTTTCTTCTCAAACGGTGCACCTCCGATACATATTACTTTTCCAGTCCGGAAATTAATACTTAGACACAGAAATTACTAACTGCAAATTTATATTCCACGATTTAAATTATAGCACTTGCCATTCTTAACCCCATAAATTTACAAGTTTACGGTAAATTTTCCATTAAATATTATGAAAAAGTGAGGAAGTGGCAAAGAAAATATAAAAAAGTCAATCTTTTTATTTAAAAAAGCTGTATAAAAGAAATTGCGGTTACAATAATGTTTCAATTTTATTAATCGTTAATATTATAATATAACAATTCTGCTAATCTATAGATATATTTTTCAACCTCTAATTTTAAAATCCAAATTATAGGTAGTATCTGAATTGAGATGAATGGTCAAATATTTCTAAACTTATACCTGTATATTGATCAGTACTTTGTAGAAAGAATATATCAAATGTTATGACAAAAACAACATTGAATTCATTATAAAAAGTAAATTATAAAAATATTCCATATTATACGACACTATAAAATAAAACAGATGATGATTCCTCAATAAGATATATATTGCATAAATTGCAAATTTCATCATGTTTCAAAAATGCAACAGTTTATCTCTTGAAAAGACATTATTCAGTTTTTAAATATGTATAAAGTAAGAAAAATAAATGAGAATTAATAAAAAATATCCTCTTTAAATATTTAATATAAAAATAAACAAAAAATTACTTATTAGAGTTACCATACTTCTTCAAGCAGCAATATATGGTTGTTCAAAACTACAACTTAATCAAATTGAAGATAATAGAGAGTAAAGAAAGAAATATTTGTATGCTAAATAATAAATATATATTTCATCTCGCTTTATTGTTTAGCAACATAGCTTTAAAAATGCAAGTTTTTAAACACCTGTCAATAGGCTATTCACCATACTTCAAATTCTCACAGCAGGTTACATATCAGTAGGCATTTGAAATTTGCATTTTCATAAATTCGTTTGCAAACAATAAAGCAAAATCAAACATATTTTTTAAACAAAAAGTGTTCTTTTCATCATCTCTTACCACTATGTGATTAATTTTATAATATTCTGTAATACTAAAAAACGCTGAATAATGTTAGTAGAAGTTTTTATTACTTAGAGAACTCTAATAACCTTACTATATTTGTCCCACCGAATATGCACTCTTAAACATCATCTTTTTTTCCATTATCATAAAAAAGTATACAGTCTTTTAACAAATGAAATATAGTCTTTGTTTGCCTTATGTTTTACAAACATATGAATTATAACTACATATCGAATAATTATCTTCAGCTATGCCATCACGATCTTCATTAACATTTCCCTCTGTATTCTTCATTCCCTTCAAACGATATTTGTTCCTGGGCATTCCAGAACTAATACACAACTCCAGTAAAGCCCATTCTTCAATAGATCCAAGAGAACCCTCTTCACTGAGGGAACTAACCGAACTATGTCTAGAGGGCACTACATTTGACTTTATAATGTTCCGACATGGTTCATCATCGTCATTATCCGTTCCATTTAAAATGGGAGATCTACAATTAGGAATATCGGAGCGTGAAACACTCGGTATATTTTCATTTATAGTACCATGTTCATGATCTGACTGAGGAAACTTCCTCGTATATGACTGTTGGGGATTTGTTTTTTCGTATGCATTAATTCCGCCATTTTTGACAATATGTCTCCTACTTTCTTGAGTCTTCGTAGAATGAAAGGTACAAGAAGATCCTCCATGTAGAGAAAGATCGTTTTCAATAACTTTATGTACTGTTTGACTTTGTAACATGCCATTTCTAATTAAATAGGGTTTGTTTACATACGACGAAGTACTGATGGTATTTCTTGTTTTTGAGTATTCTGGTTGTTTTTTTACAGAAGCTAAAGATGAATTTGATGAAACATTTAATGCCTGCGAATAATAAGAAAGTACTCATAATTTGACAGAAGGGAGAAACAGAAACATATATTCTTACCTTTGGCATGCCGGATTTAATACACTGTGCCAACATAATGTCTTCCTCCTCTTCTGAGAGACTTAAATTATCCTCAAATGGAACAGATTTTTTTGATTGATGTTTACTCTCCTCTGCATATTCTATTTGTCGATATGATGTAGAAGACGATAGCGATTGTTTCCTTGGAGTCATCATTTTTAATTTTTCCGTTGTTTGCGGCAATGTTTGTCCTATAAGTGCTGAAATATTTAATCTAACCTAAAATTAATACAAACTGATGCATAAACAATATTTTAAGCACTGTTAGAAATAATCAATAATGAAATGAAGATAAACCTTAGGCATAGCCGCTCTTATACACTCGCTAAGGATGGCTTCATCATCTGAATGATTAGGACTGTCGTCAAAAAGATCATTTTCGTGGTCTAACGATGTACGACACATGGGTTTACGAAGAACAGAATTTTTGTTTCCTCTTTCTACAGGAGATGATGATGGAGTACCACATATATTAAATCTTTGTGATAAAACTTCCGTTTTTTGAACAAAGGGAATGGAACCAGTTGGTGGTGGAGTTATTTGTCGAACCTAAAATAAAAAAAAGCATAATTAACATCGAAAATTACTTAAAACTTCTAAAATTATATCTACTTTTGGTATTCCCGATTGAATGCATTCATCAAGAATTTTTTCATCTTCTCCAGATAAGTTAGAACTCTCATCCGACAAATCGTTTCTATGGCATTCGACTTCACCCGAAGATTTAATTTCTTCAATTCTTTCTACATCTTCCTGAACACTTGGCATAGACAAGGCTGAAAGATTTGATTGCGAACCCACTGGAGAAATATCAGCAGGTGTATCTTCTGTACAATAAATATGTACTGTATCTGGTGCAGCAACAACCTCTATCGCAGGCTTATTAGACTTTGAAGTTGTCACTGGTGTTTCTACAGAAGTAACAGTAACAGGAACTGGAGGATCCAATCTGTTTAAAACTGATGTTCTATGACAGTGTACCAACATATTTGATGATTCCGACTGTATGGGTTTCTGGACAGTGGACGTTTTAAAAGATTGTCTATATCTGTAACATATTTAAAAACATTAATATTGTAAAAGAATAGTATTAATTAATAATAATTAACATTAATACATTATAAAATATTAAAATACCTATTATTTTGTATTCCCATACTGATGCACGCAGCCAACATATCTTCGTCATCTTCGTCACCATCGCTCACTTGCTCCTGATCTTTCTCAACTTCCGCATTATTAACTTTTTCTTCTGAAGAATCTACTTTGATATTTTTATCCAGCTCATTCGAGGATTCCTTTAAATCAGTTTGAGATTTAGAAGTATTAACAATTTTCATTTCATCGTCGATAGTTAAAGAACTAAGACTAGTAGCTGTAGAAAATTCAATAGGAGTTGATTCCTCTTTAAATGTGGCGATATCATCTTCAAAAACACTGGTTCTTGGTGCATGACATTTTGAATATGCTAAAAATAGTATCTATTATGAAGACTAGTAAAAAAATGAAGGACATATTCTTTGAAATACTATTTAAATCAAGTTCTTATAATTAATCTTTCACTAACGATCAATAGCATTGCATACATAAATGTCGAACTGACGGTCTTACTGCTTCTTCTGGTATTTTGCCTGTAAAATCTGCACATTGATTTTTATGATTACGAGGACTAGGAGGAATAGTTTGTGTAGGTGAATCTGGTAATTCGCTTGGAGATACAACACCACTGGTTCTACGGCTATCAAACATAAATTCCAATACAAATATTACAATTATATTAACATAAATTATTTAAATATGACTTAAAAATTACCTAAAGTCACTTATAATAGAGCTACGATCGTCGTGTATGGAATGCTGTTCAAATCCACTTAGTGAACCCAAAGAACTACAACGTGAAAACATTAAAGGAGTTTGCTCTGCATAATAATCTTGTCTGCTGAATGTAACCATTTTGCCTAAAATAGTGAATGTAATAAATGATTGCATAATTTCGCATAATACTTCAAAGAACATTACACATAAAGAAGAAAATATAACAAACCTTCTTTATCTACCACTCTAGAATTATTTTTTCCCTCTGCAGAACTATCAGTTTCATCAGGAATACGTAACATGTTAATGTTAGAATTAATTGCAGTACGATCTGCTCTTTCTAATACACTATCTACCTTAGCAGAAGAATCTGTAGAAGGTACTTTGGAAATGATTCCCATAACATTAGTTCTTTGTGTTATTGCACTACCAAGAGAACTTAAAGAGTTTGCACGAGAAAATCCATCTGATGTTCCTGCCTGGTAATAATTAAGTAATTTCTCAGAGGAAATACAGCCAGGTTTGCATGTATCAGAAGTTGTAGATACTTCTAGTTCCTTTTCAACAAGAAGTGAACGATCTTCATTGCAATTAATTGTTAGTGTATGTTCATAATTCAAATCTTCTTTGCGACTAAGTTCCTTTTTATTAAGCTTCTTTTGTGAATCTACAGCTTCCTTTGCATCCTCTAAACGTAAGTCAGACATAGAAGTTGCAGTTGAAAAATTGAAAGGTGTCTCATATGGAGTTCCCTCAGTACAGTATGTTTTTACAGTATCTTCCTGAACACTTCCAGGAAAATATTCAGGACTCTGTTTCTCATCATCATCTGTGTCATCTTCAGCATATCGTAAACTATAATCTGTTGGTTGATCAAGATCAGTTTCAGCATAATCTCCAAATAAATCTACTTTAGTATCACGTTCTCCGAATTCTTTTTTACAAGATCGATCAGTTCGAGAGGAATTTTCAATTGGATGATTTTCAACCACTATTTTTCTTTCACTATACTTTTTACTGTAATCCACCGGTTGTTCTGTCGTTTCATCCTCATATCTCTGTCCAGTACTTCTTTCCATACTAATAAATTTTATTTTATTTTTTAATCACAATTTTTTTTCGTTTTTATGAATATTTTTAGAATTTACAATTCTATCGATTAATTAAAGAAATACTAAATTTTAATATGAAGAGTTATCAAAATCTTCTTTAACAGGTTACTAGTTAATTATTTTTACCATCTTCGACGAATTTCACGTTGACATTAATCTCGAGTAATGGGCTAAGGAAGACAAGTTAACGTTGTACTGTGTTAAATATCGATGTGTCGATTGCAGCGCAATCTGGAGTTGTTCGACAAACTATTTGAGTACATACAAAAATATACTCAATAATAAAAAATTCAACGATAAAAAAGATTTTGTTTCATGAAACTTACTATATAAACAATTTTAATTATTAAAAACATATTGAATATATCTTAAAACTATATAAATTATTATAATTTCCTCATTTATTTTAAGAAATATTGTATAAAAATACAATTACAGAACATGCTACGAAAACATTATGGAAAAGTATTTCATTTGTTTATTTGAATACTTGTGCATTCAATTCAATGGAATTTAATGAAACATCTTTTATAAACAATATTAAAAGAATAGTCACAAGGTGATTTTTTCTTATTGTAATGTCACTTATTATTTTATAATTTAACCTCGACCTCTTCCTGCTTGAGATCCTCCAGGTTGATTCTGTTGATTAAGCCAAGGTGCAGAACCTGTACCTCTACCTCTTTGATTTTGACCTCTACCTCTTCCACGAGCTAAAACAAAATAGTAATATAAGTAAACAAAATAACAGTATTTCAGAAAATTTAACATTTTTATATTTTGAAATAAAGATTAGAAAATTTAAATATTTTATAAATAAACCTTGGGCACGTAAAATAGCAGATTTTCCTCTGCCTGCAGTACCCGAGCCTTTCCCTCCCGGGCGCTTAAACATTGGTGCATTCTTCAACATATCTGGTAATATCAGAAATCTAATTTTTGAGCCTCTAATATAAACATTTTCTAACTGCGCCTCCCGACCATCCCTATAAGTTACCGTGATATTTTGCATTTGACAATTCATATTGTCTTCGGCTTCTATCAATTTACCACGATATACTTCGCCGGTATTTGTTTCACAGGTTACGGTATGACCTTCCGCTTCGTGAAGTACTTTTATAGGCACTCCGATCGACATTATAACTAACTTCTATGAAAATTACAACAATACGTTCAAAATTTTACTTAATTAATTTAAAATCAATGTATCTTTTGATCAGAAATCTTGAAAAATATATAAATTATAAATACACGAGGTAACCTCTCTTTTAGTATGTCTGCTTGGCGTTTACACTAGTCTCTTACGATTCGACACAACTCATAAATGGAGGCAACTCCGACACATGCGCATTGAATAGAATTACAAATAAAGCGCAAATAAAGCACAATCATTTTCTCAATCTCCATTCGTTAAAAAATATTTATTAAAGATAAAAATTAAGAGCATAAAAAACAATTTTGTTAATATAAAGGAAAAAACTAATTAATTTGTTAGAATATATTTATATTAATGTGCAATTTTTCTTCGCAAAAAAAAAAATTGTAACAGCTTAATTTTCCATTTTTAAATAATTATATATTTATTGGTCATTAATTTCGGACTGCTACCAACTTTATGATAACACATTATAGAGTAATCATCAAACTAGATTCTCGCAAATTTTGCCAATAATTTTACATAGAGTTTGATTAAGCAAAAATTTATTTCCTGCCTCCTATGTGTCTTATTGTCCTAAGATTGCATCACTTTTGTTTAACCGCTAAGAATTTGTTTTAAGAAAATTATTTCTAGTTTCTGTAATTAATAAATTACATCAATCGATCAAATCGATAAAAAAAGAATGGCAGACTCATTGCTTGAAAGAGCACAATATATTCAATTTTAGGAAACTTGGTCAAACGTCAAATAACTTCATCTGCCGTATCCTTTTTAGGGCGATAAATTTATATATATTTTGTTTGTTAAATATACATAAATATAATTAACTATAATTATAAACAGTCAAGAATCATCGGGAAAAAAGATCGATATACACGATCGAAGAGAGATTTATTGCAGTTCAAGGAGGCACGTGAAAATAAAAGTAGAGCGGGTTGTATGGATCATAGGCGTAGAAATGAATAATACACCAAGATAATTTTTTTCCCACCTACAAAAGAACCTAAGATATATACCTAATGTGTTTTTGTCAAAAAGATGGTATAATTGTAATGATACATAATATATTAAAATCGACGTTACTTCTTTCTTTTTAATTGTTTAAACATACTAATATCAATCATATAATAATTACAAGCATCATTACTTCCTTATTATAGTCAGCCGAACTCGAACACGTCGCTGTTTCATCTGTCTTTTTCACAATTCGATTTTTTTTACCAATATTGAAATTAATTTTTTCCCATCTACTCGACTGGTCATACTCACACATCTTTGACCTTTCTTTTATTTTCTCTCTTTCTTCTTTTCTCTATCTCTCACTCATTCTCTCTCTCTCTCTCTCTCTCATTTTCTCTCTGTATCTACGCATGTCATCTCTGTCATCCATTCGCTATAAGCAAGACTCTACCAATATCGCGTTACAATCTTAGAAAAATATGCTATGCCTAAAATAGGATGAAGGCCTGAAGGCAACCATTCTGTCGATATTATTGATAATCAGTGTGCGTACCTCCTTTTTATGCATCATATCAAACTAGCCGATACGTTTTTTCTCTCTTTCGCTCCAAGGTGCGCGCTAGAACAAAAATCTATCATTGCGCAACCAATATCAAGAAAGCAATTATAAGACTATATTTTTTGTATCAACTGTCATTAGGATTTCTCTATCGCGGAAAATGTTAAATAATAATCGTATGATTTCAATACATACATGTAAAAAACATTTTCAATTTTTAATTTTTGTTTATTTGTGGGTATGTCAAATTTTATTTTTTCATTAGCATTACTTGCAATGATTTGCAAGTAATGTTGCTATAATAATTGACAAAATAAAAATAAATTCAAATCTAAAAATTGTAGCATCATTCGTGGAAAGAAAATGAAAGATGATAAAATCCCGAGAATGTAATTTTTTCTTAATTATAGTTAGTTTGAAACAATACGATTTTTATTTATAACATTTCTTTTTTATACGACGATTACAAAAATTGAAAAATTGTGACGATCGAGAAAGTCTCACTCTGTACACATAATAATATATTGTCCATAAACATTACGTTCATTGTGTGTTGTGTGTATGTACGTGTATTTGTATGTGAAATCACGGCGAATATGGTGGAGTATATGCAAAGTTTCATTATGAATGGAATCGCTTTCTTAGTATTTTCTTCTTTCCATTTTGCAAAAGTACGCAGTTATCCACTATTATAAAATAAGGACCATCGATAACGTGGCACTGAAATTAAGAACGATTCACTTTATTCTATTAACGTAATTAATACAAGAACTTTTTTCTTTGTATCTCATGAGACGACTTTTCGTTTCGATAATTTTTTTCCTTTATCGCTATATTGGCTATCACGCAAAACTTTAAAGGGCGAAGGATCGATAATCGATTAGAAAGAAAAAAAAAAGAAAAAAAAAGAAAAGACAATGGAACGCAATTATTCGTAAAGACAGCAAAAACATGGTGATACGATACACAATATGGTGTTTTGTCTCTCTCTCTCTCTCACTCTCCCTCACTCATCCCCCTCCCCCTCCATATATTCTCACTTGTTCACCCTCTTCCCTCGTTTACATGTCTCTTTAAAATCGCAAAAGACTCAGTATGACGACTATCGATTTTTCACACGTTTGAAAGAAGCCAACGATACGCAGGAAAAGCAACTCTGTTTGAAAAACTCACTAAGTAACAAGGGAAATTTTCATTCTCCTTGTTCTTTTCTTTCACAACAAACTGCTTTGTGTAAGAATTTGTTTTTCAGATTTATTTTTTTTTATTTTTTTATTTTTTTTTGTAAAAGCGACATAAAACTCAACACCTACGGCAACTTCTTACTCTCTTTCTCAACTACGATCTAGTCTAAGAGGAGTTAGAGTTACGCCGAACAAAAAACTGAAATATACATTTCTCTCGTGTTTTTTCATTCTTTTACTGTTTTTCTTTATTTTGTTAAAAAGTATTGCAGCACGGAAGAAAATGGTTAAGACAGACGGAGAAATATTCCGGTTTCTTTATCGATCGGTACAACAGGGCCGATAGTCATCCCTTCGTCGAGGGGCCTCTCGTTCGTTAGTATTTTTCTTTTTTTTTATATATCTGGCTGGCCTTTAAACATTTCATCACACAAAGTGTATTTTAGCACCAATATACGTAATAAATTTTATTTAGAAGAAAAAGAAAAAAATGAAACGAGAAAACCGACTGGACGAGTCACGTGACACAACCTAATTTCCTCCTAATTTTAAAACATCAATTAGGAACTTAAAAAAATATTACAGGGTCCGCATTTTGTTTCTTTCTTCTCTTCCCACAAAGATTCGTAAACGCTTGGCGTAAATAATAATTTGCAATATAGTTTGAAACATATTTAATAAGGAATAATGCTTGGTTATATTCACGTGAAATTGGACATAAACACACAGTACTACTTATACTCCATTGCATTATTTATGAATCAATAGACTAACATACTTAATAATTATTAGACTAATTGTTAACCTAGGATTGTGATCACCCATCAACGTCAGCCACTACCTAAGCAACATTCCCTTTTTTTTTTTTTACTTTTTGGATATTACGAACGAAACAGAAATATAGATTATATACATATAAAATTTTTCTTTTTTTCTCTCGCTCTCTTTTACGCTCTCTCCCCTCCTCTCTCTCTCTCTCTCTCTCTCTCTCTCTCTCTCTCTCTCTCTTCTTTTCTCTTTCTTCTTTCTTT